CAACCTTTCAAATGAAAATAAATAATTAAATTAATCAACGGTTATACCACATTTATTGTGAGTGATACGTCCGTAAGATACGTTACATACGATATGTGTCTGGGTGGATACTATCAGATATCGTCAAGTATACAACGCTACAGTAACGTACATACATATTGACCACGTGTGTATACGTGTTATATGTACACTAAATACGTTAATGTAAACATTAATAAGCGAATATTAACTCTGTATTGTCCTGGCCGTTGTCTCGCAAGTGAGCCTCATCGTCTCTCTCGTTTCTTTTCAGAAATAGGTCTACGATGTTCATCTTCATAATCGAATGCATCAACACCATTGTGCGCATGTCCTTGTTGGTGTTCAACCTCACGTGAATTCTTTCACGGGGGGCTAGGTATTCAAGTACCAATGTACTCTAATATGCATGAGACCACCTCTGTCCTACAATCAAATATACAATCAAATAAAGGTCCGCTAGAGTCGCATTATTCTTGATGGCGAAAATATAGAGTTGTCCCTTGGATCGACAACTTGCTAAGATTTCAACAGGGGGTTGTTGGCCGTCACCCTTTGCTCTCATTGTTCCGTAGGTAGCAGGCATAGCTCAAATTAGGGCAAAGACGACAAAAAAAGGTCGGCCGACGCCAATAAAGACCAACGACGACCAGAGGAAGAGACAACAATGGGGCGACAAACACGACGGCGATCAGAGGCTGAGAGAACGAAGACAATCGCCGTATTTTTTTTGCCTCAGTAAGTTTAGAATGATTTAAGATACAGATGTGTTAGGGAACAAGGATAATTAATTGAAAGTGGGTGTTTGGCTGTAATTTAAACATCAAATCACTCGATGTACGGTATATAAGCACAATGTATACGTTATTGGAGAACAACGGTAAGCAATTACAGTTCTCTATGCATACGATTAACGTGCTCGTGTAATACGATTTATGAACACTATGTATACATAACACATACGTTATGGCGAACAACAGTAAACAATTACAGTTCCCGAGTCATACGATTATTTGTGACACCTAATACAATTGTTTTAAACATGTTTTAGGGACATGTAATGGCTACTAATTATTTATAAATTAAAAAATTCTTAAACTTTAAATATTGAAAATCAAGGTATTACACATTCAACACAAACGTATGTTTAAAGTACCTAATAAGTATAGTCGACTTCTACATAACGTATATGATATGTACCGAAAAATATCATCGTTATGTGCGGCAATGTTCTGTTATAGTAGGTGACCAACAAGCCAACATGTGGCCGTGGTCTTTCGTATTTATTATTGTAATAAACGAACTTTTATTCGTATTAATGATAAAACACCTTGGCATTTTATATCTTTGTCCCTTTGTCCAAGCATAGATATAATCCTTACAGTTATTACAAGTACTAGTAATTGATCGTTAGGATCGTGATATATTTACTTAAATATTATAACTGTTAAACGTGTTCCTAGTCGAAGGGTTAGGCCACCAATGAGGATATCGGCTTTTCGGATTAAGAGACTAGCACTTAGTGTATGTGTACTGCATCTCATCAGTAAACGGTATTGTGATATCGGCATGCATAAGTGGGTGCTCGTAAGTTGACGAGTTCACTGAACTCCCTCACCCTAGAAAACTCTAAGTGGTTCACAATAATCGAGTAGAGATATCTATGGTATAGTTATACACCATTAGTCCTTATGACCCAGACACATCCGTGACTTCACTAGAGGACCAGCTGTATCGTGACCTGTCCCTGAGTTCCACCGAGGACCATCCCAAGGGCCAGTGTTTGTGCAATCCGAAATCTAGTGGGAGGTATGTGCATTGTAGTCGGAGATTCGATCGCTAGAATAGTCTTGGATGTCCTGTGTGTTCTCATAGTTTGTAATCTTTCCAAGTCTCTGGCCAGAGCTGACTAAGTGATGATTAGAGAATTCGATTCTCTAAGTCATGCACGTAACGATTACAACATTTAGAACGATCGCACGGTCATTGAACAAATAAAGAGGTCTCGATGATGCCTCTAGTTCAATCGGGACATATGAATCGAAGGGATCATATTGTACGTTAACTATATCTGAAGGTTCTTGCAGGCACTTCATTTGTATCTAGGGAATCATGACGCGTAGTTGCTAGACGCCAATCTTGATTCGTTGGGTGATTAAGGTGAAACGAGCTTCATCTTAATCGTAACTCTAAGGGACGAGTTTTGACCACAAAGGGTTGTGGGCCCACGGCTAGCTTACAGCCGAACCATCGAGGGTCACACTGCTCGTGCACATGAGATCTTTGAATAAACGGTCAGAGATAAAATGGTTTATCTCTGCTTGATTGGAAGTCAATACGATTGGGTCCAACATTCGGAATTTGGAATTATGAATGAGAATAAGAAAGGAAAAGAATAGGCAAACGCGTATTAGTGGACTTTCTAAATCGGGAAGTTTCCAAATTTAGAAAGTGCACTGAATTAGGGTTCCCACTTTTGGAAAGTTGGATATCGAGAGTTGGCACTCGTAATGACGAGGACATTTATGATTCCGAAAATGTAATCGTTATAATTTTCCGATCATTGAATTGAGAGAGACGAGCAAGTAAAAGAACTAAAGAACTTAAGCTGTTGGACCCGGTCCAACTTAAGCCCGTTAGGGTTTTATGCAAGACACTATAAATACTTGATTTATAGGTCTTGCACAAATAGACAACACATAATCCTAACCCTAGCCGCTCCCTCTCCCTCTCGCTCGGCCATCTCCCCGCGGCCACCGCGCCGTCGTTGCAGGAAATTGCCGGAATCGGCCATCCGTTGGCCGATCCCTTTATGTATTTCTTTCCTTCATTCTTTTCTTCCGTTTTTCTAACTATTACGTGTCTAGTGCCACGTGATTAGTAGATCGAAGTATACGAGGTGAAATCCGAGAGGAGGAAGATCGAAGATCGAAGAATCGAGGAGTAGCACACGAGCCGAAACCGCACGCATCCCCACGCACCGCCCGAAGAACGCGCGTGAGTCACACGCGCTGCCGTGGCTTGTATTGCCGTTGCTGCTGTTCCGCCGAAGCCGAACACATCCCCAACATTGTTCTATGCTCTTATAATCTGCAAGTACTGATTTACGGCTTTGTAGGCTGTTAGAAGTGGGGATATGACACCCTCCAGTAACAATATGAAGGGCAAACATGTCATTTCAAGTGGGTAGAGAGTGAAGTGTAAGTGAAAGTTAAAAGTAGGGAGTGCAGATAAAGAAAAAACATATATGAACTGAATAGCAAACGTTTTCGGGCAATAGGTATTTATGAGCAAGAACCCCAACATTGTTTTATGCTCTTATAATTTGCAAGTACTAATTCACTAATTTGCAAGTACTAATTTACGACTTTGTAGGCTGTGTAGACGCATAAAATTAATTAATTGGTTAATTAAATTAGCCAATTAAATTGTGTCTAAATTAAATTATAATTTATCTTACAAAATAAGTTATGGAGTAATTATCAATTAATTATTGGCCAATAGGATTATTTTTTCTCTTCCAAGTTATAAGAGATAAATATCAATTTAAAGAGAGCCAATCAAATCGCGCCACGTCATCAAGTAGACTTTAAGTAGGACTCTTATTCTACCACTATAAATAGGGACCCTCTCTACACAATTCAAAACACAACTCAAGAAGAAGAAAAACCGTAGGAGAAAATTCTCTCTACAATATTCAAGTTGTTCTTCAACAAATTCAAGGCGTTCTTCATCAAACATCAAATCCAGGGCGTTCTTCAACAAATCAAGATCGAAGGAAGATTGAAGGGCCAAATCCATCAAGAACTCCAAGATCTTCAAGTCAATCAAATCGATGGCGTTCCTCAACAAATCAAGATCGAAGGTAGATTGAAGGGCCAAATCCATCAAGAACCCCAAGATCTTCAAGTCAAAACCCGTCAAAGTTCAGCGTTCGATCCGAGATTCAAGTCACAAGACCCTCGAAGACGTTATTCAAATCCAAATCAAATCCGGAGAAGATCAAGTCAACGACCCGACTCCAAAATTCAAAGTCAAAACGTACATCGTTCTAGAGAGAAGAACCAGAGGATTAAATTAGAGTTTGTAACCCGCAATATTTTATTTTAATTCAATAAATTATCTTTGTGCAAGTTTTTCTTGTTTGTTTAAATCGCAGATAAGAATTTGTTGTTACAAATTTTGGCACGCCCAGTGGGACTGCTCTACCTCTCATCTCTTCTCTCTCGAAGTTCCTCGAAGTGTTGCAGTGACTGCTCTACGTTCGCAATGAAGGCTGCTACTTCGGATTCATCGAGTGTGGGTGTATTTACAAGGAGTATGGCTAAGAATGTGCAAGCATCCTCCGAGACTAGCTCAACGCCCCAAACCATTGAGAAGGGCTTACCACCTCTTATCAACACAAGTGCAGACGTAGAAGGTTCAAAACGAGAGACTTCACAACCCACGCCTCGTTCAACATCAAGCTACTCAGAGGTGGCATCCGTCATGACAACTAACGCTACAACCATGGAAGAGCAAATTGCAAGTTTGGCCAAGGCTATTGAGGGACTCACAAAGCATGTTCAACAACGAGATTCTCAAATTGCCAAGTTGATCGAGAAGATGAACAAAGCCGATGCTAGTCAAGTTGTGGAGCAGATTGAGGCTCAAGACGAAGTCGAGACATCCACAAAGCAACAACCAGTTGAAAACGAGAAGGCTCCAACTCAAGATTTTCAAGTTTCTCCAGAAGGGATGATTCATGTAGATCAAGTGATGACGCTGATCAGTGGTTTCTGATAATTACATTTCCACCCCTTGCATCGAACAATGTTACAAAAATACGATTTAAGACAAATAAATTATATTTATAGTAGACACCCACCTCTAAAATACATTTATGTAAAAATATTTAAAAGAAGGGGTGGCTGTAATTACCCAAACAAGAGGGATTTTTTTAATATGACCATACCTCAGGGGGTGACAGTAATTTGCCCTAATAATTAATACAATTTGTTTAGGGGAACAATGAACACATTTGTTGCACAATTATAATAAACATATTTGTTCTTCAATATATAGATCTAAAATCCCTTTTACCCAAAGATACTAACTCCTCTATTGAATGTAATAATATTACAAATGTTACATCCAACAATTTGTCTATCCACATAGGAGTTGATCTTCACTTGGCGAGATTCGTTTAATTTATCGACACTACAAACAATTATCGGGCACGATAACACCACCGGAAGTTCCGCCGATGTTTTTGCAGAAAGATTGCGCCCTTTTTATGTCCAAATAAGTAAGATTAATGTCCTTTAATTTGATGCCTACACATGGATTAGTAGGGCTACAATCAAAAGTCATGGCAACTTGTGTTGCCGATGTTCCTTGGATATTTTCGTATGTTACTTGGTCGATCTTTATTCCGGAGCTCTATCATAATTAAAAAAAATTAAATAATAATCAATAAATAATTAATTTTCTAATTTGACGAGCTCGCGATTTTATCTTATTTGTGATATCATAATTAAGTTTTTTTTTTAATAATTATACATTTTGTACAAAACATATGAACCATACAAATTTATTTGAGCTCAAATAATTAGGAACGTGTACGATACATGACAATAATCAATTATATTGGTAAACTATTTTAACGAAAAAAATAATTATAGGTTATAAAATAAAAAAAATAATAATAATTTTAGTTATATTATTCGAGTGTAAGGAAAAATATAATCATCGTTACCTGGAGAGGACAACCTTGGTTGTTTGGGCAATAATTTTGGTCGATAATAATTGGGTTCTCAACGTTATTCATAACAATGTTTCGATAACTAACGTTCCGCACGAACCCAATGCTGGGCCGGGCCCATGTTTTTATCCGCAGCCCATTATCCGACCCGCTAAAATTTGAATTTACTAATGTCACATTTTCGACACCATCTTCGATAAAATCTCGAGCCAAACTCCCTATGCTGAAAAAATTAAAATGAAATTAATGTAAGTTATATTATATTAGTTATTTCAAATACTACTCTATTAATATTAATAAAAAAAATAAAAAATAAAAAAAATTGAATTTTATAATTTAATTACCTGACTCCATGTCCCGGGCCGCACTGTATTTTCTCCATCCACAAATTTCTAGTCCCTGGCCCGATCGAAATACAATCGTCACCCGTTTTAATGATGATATTTGTGATGGTGACGTTAGTCGAAGATTGAACATGAATCCCGTCGGTATTAGGGCTTAGGTCCGGAGCTACGATCCTCACATTACTCACCTTCACATTCTTGCAGCTATTAATCACAAGGTGCGTTAGCTGGCTGTTAATCGAGGTTAACCCGCTAATTTCACCGTCATTAACCCAATTAAATGTTATAGACTGCAAGTTGAAAATAGAGTTAGATTCATGTCATAATCAAAGTAGTAAGCTTCTAAATTATATATTTTTTTTTATTTAAAAATAATAATGTGATAGTTTTTTGTTCTTTATTTAATTAGATAACACCACATAAAACTATTATATCTTAGTATTTTAACTTAAATATATGTAATTTTACTACATAACATTAATTATACTAATATTTATCGACAATTTTAATAAATATAACAATTTGACTTTTTTTATCGATCTTTTTTTTCTAATTTGTACTAAATTAAATTAATCCGATAACTTTTATTATACAATGATATATATATATATATATATATATATATATATATATATATATATATATATATATATATATATATATATATATATATATATATATAACACTTTATTCGGAGAAATAATGAAGAAAAAAAACATATGACGTTTTAAGGTCTTCCGAGAAATAATGAAAAAATTAAAAAGTTTACGATAAAATAAAATGAAGTATAAATTTTCGTCTCTTGAGATGTTCTTGATTGCACACTTTATTATTGTTATTTTTTTACAATATGTCCACATTTGACTTATTGCAATTAAACATTTTTATTTAAATCTTAATAAAGTGTTTAGAATATAGAACTTCATAATTTATTTGGTGCTATTAGTTAGTGAAATCAAAGAAAAGAAATTAATGAGTAAGTACATATAGGGTAGTTGAAATACCAAATTCTGGTCAATTAATTTCTTCAATGTTCGTTTGATGTTTGCAAAGCGTTGAAATTAAACAATATAATTAATTCCATATTAATTAATCGACTTTTTTTTACAAATTTTATTAGCTAGCTAGGCCTATTTAGATAATAAACCAATATTATAATGTAAAATGACTAACTTACCCTTGCTTCGACCGTGCAATTCTGGCCGGATGTCTTGCATGCCCAAAACCCCGCCCCGTTAGCATCAACAACTCCTCCGACCACCGTAATCCGGTTGACTTGAATGAACAGTAACCAATGGCCGGAGTTTCCAAGGGCATTATAGTCAATTGGAGCTACAAGGGTGCCGTCAATTTGAACCCTAATCGGATTTTCGCACGGACCTCTAAACTCTGCGAAACCAATCAAGAAACGCCCTTCCGGAACGTAAATTGACGATGATAACCTCGAGGCGCACGCGGATGCCCAAGCACTGAGGAAAGGCCGAGTTGACTCGGTAGTTCCGTTTGGGTTTGCACCAAATTCGATCACATTGAATATCGATGCGCCTTTTGCAATATTCACAAATAATTGCAGTAATATGAAACGAAGGAACGAAATGTCGGACGTCGTAGAAATCATGTCTCTTTTTCGTTTTTCGCTTTTTTTTTTTAAATGAAAATGAACATTGTTATGAATATGATGAAAAAAGTGACAGTTTAGTACATTTATATGGGAGTTTGAAGTTTTCAACGGTTTTAATTATCAGATCTAGTGATGAATTTAACATTAATGAGCAAAATTTAACTTTTCTTTCTTTTTCAAAAAAAAAAAAAAAAAAAAAAAAAACAAACGATATTCTCAACCACTTGAAAAAATGCTCTCCGATATACGAGCAAAATTAAAATACTACATGAAGTCTCGAAGCTACAGACAATTTTTCGGGTAGACGAAACCGGTACAAAAACCTCGTGCGTTTTCACAATCGGAGAGTGTAGGCTTCTTGAAATTATGGTTTACGTAAGTGAGATCGATATCCTTAAGTTCTATTCCTTGACAAGGATTAGTCGAACTGCAACGCAACGTTATTGCTTTCTGCGTCAACGACGTTCCCTTTATTTGTTCGAATCTCACTTGGCTCACTTTCACCCCGGAATTCTGCATGCAATAATTGAAATATAAACATCATTAAACAATAAATTAAATAGATATATATTAATTTATTAAAAGAAAAGAACTAATTTTATGTACAAATTCCTCAAAACCTATTTCGAAGTGATCCCTTATGTTTACAAAAACCGCATTTGGTCCCTCATGTTTCAATAATTTAACAGTTTTGGTCCTCTCCGTCAGTTTATCGTAAGTAGTGGTGAGAACATGCTTGATTCCGTTACTTTTAATAGAAACTTGACGGAAAAGGCTAAAAATGTTGAATTTTTCGAACATGAGGGACCGAATGTGTATTTTGTGAATATTGTGGACCAAATATGAAATTGATGCAAACTTGAAGGATGAAAACTGTATTTTTCCCATAGATTAATGATAAACTCGTCACTTTCGTAAAGTAATTGAGTATGTAATGTATGTTACCTTAGAATTAGTACAAGACTTAGTCGGGCAATAGTCTTGATCGATGATTATGGGATTCGCGACATTCCTCATGGTAAGATTCTTGAATACAAGATTCTTGGCGTAACCATCGCTTGCCTTCGGCCATGACTTAACCCTAACGCCGTTTTGTGTCTGTGTGAAGATCGAATTAGTGACAATTACACCGTCAACTCCATTTTCTATTGCACTGCTACCGAGACTTCCTATGCTGTTTTTTTCGAAACAGAACAAGTCAAGATCGTTAAAATAATTGTCGTAGTATTTTTGCGTGTATATTGCATAACGGAGCGTATACATGCATGTCGTTACCATAAATATTTTATATAATCAAACGAATAATGAGATATAAATTAAATTTTTTGAAACTGAAAGAATTCAATGCCACCAAATTCGTAAAGTTCGTTGGAATGTGAAGCAATTTGATTACATCCAAGAAACAAAAAAAAATCAAAATATGAATTAAAAAATTCAGAATGATAAGAATTACTATAAAGTTGGAATTTGTAATATCAAAATTATTAATTTCATTTTTCACTCCCAATATAAAATACATCAAATATATATAATGGCGGTATAAATATTATAATAATATTTATATCTAATCAATTCCTTGCAAAATATTAATCTAATTAAACTTCCTAAATTGTTTTTCAAATTGAAAATCAGATAAAATTTTTGGAATGTCGGAAAATTTGTATCGAATTTAGATTCTAGAAAAAATGTATTCTTTGAGAGTTCATAAATTGAAATATCGAAGAAAAATTGGAACGAAAACAATTAGTTAATGGTCTCAAATTTACAGACAATAATCGGCGAAATTCAATTTTTTTTTTGCTTAAGTGGGCCCCATTTCAAATTACTATACATACCTGATGCCATGTCCGGGACCACATACGATTCGATCGATCCGCATCTTCATGGATCCCTGCCCGATGGATATGCAGTCGTCTCCTGTCCCAATATTGCTATTGGTAATTGTAATATTCCTCGAGGATCCAATGTGGATTCCATCCGTGTTAGGGCTTCGACTTGGAGCAATAATTTTCATTCTTTGTAAAATCATATTCGAACATCCGTTGATAGAAATATGAACTCTTTGGCTGTTGAAAGATTTCAACCCACTAACTAGCACCTTGTTGCACGATTGGAACGACAACGACTGCAAAAAATCGTTGCATGCAAGAATTAAATTTCTATAAGGTGTATTTTGTTAAGGGAAACAAATTAATATTGCCGATTCATTTGGATCGAATCAAATCAAACAAACTCTATCAAAATAATAAAAAGACGGTAATTTTGAAAAAAATGAAAACATATACGATAAAATGTGAAATGTGAAATGACCAACGTACCCTTGCTCCGAACGGACAATGATTTCCTACGCTCTTACAAGACCACAAACTAGAACCCTTTGCATTAAGGGTACCACCAACGATGGACAACCTACTAACACTATAGAACATAATCCAAGACTCGTTTGAGCCAAGAAATCGATAGTTATTTGGAGCGATTAAAGTTCCGTGTATTAAGAGCTTGATATCACTCTTGCATGGACCCGTGAAAGTTACCGATTTCACCAAGAACGTTCCATTCGGAACAACCATTGAAGCGGTTGGTACATCCGAGTTGCATGCCGCGTTCCATGCCTTGAGAAACGACGATGTCGAGTCCGTTTTCCCGTCGCCTCTCGCCCCGAAATCGACAACGTTGTGCGCTGCCGAAGTGCATAGTTTTATTGCGATAACGACGATAAATAATTTGCAAGAAAGTGGGATAACATTAGACATGTTTTAATTTCTAGTGTTACAAAGGTGGAGGGAAAGATTATTAGGTTTGGATACTATGAGAAAATGAATGTAATTTGGTTTGAATTTATACTTTTGAATTCACATGTAAAGAAGTGCAAGTAGCGTTGACCAGTCATTTTGACTAGTATCTAATTGTTTGGAAAAATAAATTATGTAAAAGTATAGGAATATAACTAAAAAAATCAGTATCGGATTATGAATAAGTGCCAAATTAGTCATAATATTTTATAAATTTGCTAGTGTTTACCAAGGAAATCCAATGACTCAATACAATTGGAATTCATACATAAATGGTATGTTTAAAATAAAATAGGTAGTAAGAATACATAAATAGTAATCCTTGTGTTGATTTGACACTAAGACTAAAATAATAAAATATGTAATATAATCTTACTAACAATCAATGTTGGTCAACAGTCAGTCCATGCCGGTCAACGGTCAACAATCCACATATGAGATTGTGTGTTGAAATGACTAATAAAAATTTTGTAGCTAAATGTCTTAATGAACTAAATCTATTAAATAGCTTTGGTCAAGTGCTTAACTTTTTCCCCTCAATATTTTCAGTTTTCTTATTTTCTCTCCCAGTGAGAGGCTTTATTTCTCTCCCAGTGAGAGGCGTCTCAATCTCAGCCTTAATCTGAGTATTCAGTATCGGTTGCAAGGATTTAAGCTTGTTCTCGTTTGAAATTCTCTTAGAGTCGATCGCACGTTTTACTATTCCATATTGCTTTGCTGTTTTTTTCTATTTTCTTTTTAGGGTTTACTTTTTATTGGCAGCCGTTTTTTCCTTTCTCCAACCCCCGTAACCCTAATTCTATCTCCTCTTTTTCCTTTGAATCTTAGGCATCGGCAACGGCGTGTTGGACACCTTCGATCGTCACTCTCATCTCTCAATCACTATCTCGGTCTTCATGGAAGGGCTTGTGGAAGCTATGGAAAAACGGTTTATCATCACTACGGACGAAGAGGAGGGCGTGGTTTTGGATTCAGCGAACCTACCGACTAGGGTTTCCACCATGGTACGTCAGTTGGTCGGGAAGGTGATGTCTGAGAGGGAGATCTCCTTTCATACCATCAAAGCTAATGTGCTTCGGATCTTGCAGCCGGTTAAGGGGTGCGAGGTCTCACCGGTGGCCAAGAACACTTTTCTTATTCGTTTCAACCACAAGTTGGATCACGCTCACGCATTAGATGGCTGTCCTTGGCTCCTCGATAAACATGCTCTCCTTTTCCACGACCTGCCGGATGGAGTTAATGCCCATGAGGTAGAGGTGAAGCTAATGAAGGTTGTAATCCGAGTCCATAACATCCCCATGACATACAGATCCACGGAAATGGCAACCCTCATTGGTAATCGGCTTGGTTCCTTTCTTCAACTGATGAACCCCCACAATCTCAATACTGCGGTCTATATGCGTATTAAAGTTGAGATCGATGCAACGAAGAGCCTGAAGAGAGGATTTTTCTTACATGTAACAAATGGCACCAAGTTGTGGTTGGACTTCACGTACGAACGCCTACCAGTTTTTTGTTTCTTGTGTGGTATCATAGGCCACGGCGAACAAAAGTGCCCTCTCCGGTACGAAGATAACTTTGAAGATCCTGGGGAAACTCTTCCCTATGGGCCTTGGCTCAAAGTGCAGATTGATACCACCTCTCATGCTCCTAGATTTCCCCTCCAACCGATAATTCCGCCACCACATTACTCTCAACTCCAACGCACGTCTATACAGCTCTGTGGGAGTGGAGATGCAGAGTGTGGGCAGACATCCCATATAGAGCAACAACGAGGTAAATTCGTCATTGGAAAGGAAAACCAAGATAACATGATGCTGGAGGATTGCAGGCTTATAAATAATCCCGTCCACCTTTCGCCAAGCACTACGGAGATCACGGTTCCACGGAAAAAGATATCCATCACCAAGAATAATAGGGGCAAAAGGGCAGACAGTGAGGTGCACAGTGAGGAACGACGAGGTGCGAAGAGACAACACACAATTAACTTACGAGATGAAGATTCAAGCTCAACGGCGGAGACTGCCTCGCAGTCCCGCCGAGATCCATGAGTTGCCTCTTTTGGAATTGCCAGGGGTTGGGGGTGCCCTTGACAATTCATTCACTCGGAGATATGCTCCGAATTCATCACCCCCTGGTGGTGTTTCTTTCAGAAACGAAAGCAACATCACCTTTGGTCGAGCGGCTTAAAATGAAATGGAATTTACACGGTGTATCAGTGGACAAACAAGGACAATCGGGTGGTCTGGCCCTACTTTGGCAGAAAAGTGTCCATGTTTCTCTTATCTCCCTATCACACCACCATATCGATGCGGAGATTATCTCTAATCATGAAACCGAAAAATGGCGAATCACCGGAATATATGGGTATTCGGAAAAAGAGAAGCGTCATCTTACGTGGAACTTATTACGATCGATTTGTGGACACCGCGACCTTCCATGGATCGTGGGCGGGGACTTCAACGAAATTATCACGGCCGGTGAAAAGGAGGGTGGAAACCCCAGGACCACTTCGGCGATGCTCGCATTCCAATCGGCATTGAACGATTGCGACCTTTCAGACTTAGGCTTTACGGGAGATCCGTTCACATGGTCTAATAGAAGAGAAGCTCCTTACACTATTCGATGCAGACTCGACAGATTCTGTGGCACCGCTCGTTGGCGTAACCTGTTCCCATTAGCTCACGTCCACCACATAGAATTTGGTGGATCAGATCATGTACCGATTCTTTTGACCCTCCAACCTACAACTCCCACCCGACCCGATAGAAGAGGGCGACCTTTCCGATTCGAAGCTATGTGGATCCGGCGGGAGGAATGTGAGAGCATTGTCCAGAATGAATGGTCAGATCTTTTGGCAACGGACCCAATTGAAGATCTGCTCACTAAGACGGAGAATTGCAAGACAGCACTCCTGCAATGGAGTCAGTCTTCCATCGAAAATCCTAGGAATCGCATTTCCAAAGTTCAAAAACGTCTGCATGAACTTGGGCGGGGCCTGCAATCGACTGAAATTATTTCCGAAAGAAGGACTCTTCAAAATGAGCTCGAACAACTTTACCAAGACCTAGACACTTACTGGAAACAGCGAAGCCGAGTCCAATGGATGAAAGAAGGAGATCGTAATACCGGTTTCTTCCATGCAAAAGCCACGATCAGGAAGCGAAATAATTGGGTTCATCGGATCAAGAACGATTTGGGTGAATGGACTGACAACAAAGCCGAGATTGAGCAGGTGATAGCGAATTACTTTTCCTCGATTTTCCAGTCTACCCATCCGACCGAGGGAGTGATTGAGAGTGTGACGCAACATATCGATCGGAGGTTGTCCAATGCGGCTAGCCAATCCCTTTCCCTCCCTTTCATTGCGGACGAGGTAACCCGAGCTATTTCTCAAATGTCCCCCACTAAATCCCCGGGCCCTGATGGCTTTCCTGTGTTGTTCTTTACTAAATATTGGAATTGTCTTGGTTCTAATGTGCTTAACTGCGTCCTTAATTTCCTTAATAATAAAAAGCTGCCCACCAAATTGAATTACACCTTCATTGTTCTGATTCCTAAGGTGAAAAACCCTGAGAAAATCACCGAATATCGTCCGATAAGCTTGTGCAATGTTATATACAAATTTGGGTCGAAAGCTATTGCCAATCGTATTAAACCTTTCCTCCAGAACATCATCTCTCCCACCCAATCAGCTTTTGTGCCCAAACGCCTTATTACGGATAATGTTTTAGTCGCATATGAAGTTAATCATTTTATTAAATCTAATTCTAGAAAGAAAACGAATTTTATGGCTGCGAAATTGGACATTAGTAAAGCGTACGATCGAATCGAATGGCTTTTCTTACGAAAAATTCTTAATCGTTTTGGCTTCCCATCTTCATTGGTCGATCTGATTATGCTATGTGTATCTTCCGTTTCTTACTCTTTTCTATTTAATGGTTGCCAATTTGGGTCGTTGCAGCCATCTCGCGGTCTCAGACAAGGGGACCCTCTTTCCCCGTACTTATTTATACTGTGCACGGAAGCTCTTATTGCAATGATCCGTCAGGCCGAGACCGAGAGAGTATTGCACGGAATCGTCATAGCTCCCACGGCACCTAGCGTCTCCTGCCTTAGCTTTGCAGATGACACCTTGGTGTTCTGCAAAGCTAACCTGGCTAATGCTGAAACCCTCAATCGGATACTTCAAGAGTATGCAGCCGCATCAGGCCAGGTTGTTAATATTGAGAAATCAACTATGTGTTTCTGCCCCATGACACCGCCCGACACTAAGAATGCAATCCAGTCGACTTTGGGCTTCCAAATTGTGGAGAGCCACGAAAAATACCTTGGAATGCCTTTGACTATGGGGAAATCAAGGCGAGCTATCTTCGACTTTTTACGGGACCGTGTGTGGACCAAGATTGAAGGGTGGGGAGAAAAGCAACTTTCGAAGGCCGGTAAGGAAGTCCTCATTAAAGCTGTTCTTCAAGCTATTCCATCTTACCTCATGAGTTGTTTTAGTCTCCCTCTTGGACTCCTCCACGATATAGAATCAGCAATACAACGATTTTGGTGGGGTAACGGGAAAGCTCGATCGATGGCCTGGACTTCATGGATTAAGCTTTGCACACCAAAAGAACGCGGAGGCATGGGGTTCAGACACCTCCGCTCATTTAATCTCGCCATGCTTGCCAAACAAGCATGGAGAATTATCTCGTGCCCAGACCTCCTACTCTCCAAGCTTCTTCGCGCGAGGTATTTCCCCGCCGGCAACTTTTGGTCGGCCCCTCCGGGTTTCCGACCGTCAGCAACCTGGAGAAGTCTTCTCCTCGCTCGACCTCATGTCAAGGCTGGATGCCGCGTTCGCATTGGGAACGGGAAGGACACTGCTATTTGGGGTGATCCATGGTTGAAAAATGACGGTAATTTCCACATTCTGACCCGCCGCTCGGCAGTCTCAGCTTTTCCGAATAGGGTCTCCGATCTCATTCTGCCGGATTCCCGCGTGTGGGATTTGGACCTCATCCATGCCTCTTTTTGGCCGGTGGACCATAACAGAATTCTTGCAATCCCGATTGGCAGTAGCCTTGCACAAGACCGCCTCGTGTGGCACTACTCACGCTCCGGCCAATTCACGGTTAAATCATGCTATCACAACATTATGTACAATCATGCTGCATCTAGTGACTCACAAACGAATGGGACCTCGTCGAATAATGGAACTAAGGACCTATGGAAGTATATTTGGCATTTGTCCTTACCACCAAAAATCAAGATTTTTGTTTGGAGGGCTGCATGGGATATTATCCCGACCAAGGGGGCACTTTTTCGTCGTCATATTACCTCAGACCCGTTCTGCAACTTGTGTGGAACCCGAACAGAGACTACGGTGCATGCCTTGATCGGTTGTAGAGATCTTCCAAAGGTTTGGCAAAGCGAACCATTCAATATTGACACAACAACTGAACCGGTCTCTTTCCTTGGCTGGCTCGATAAGATGAGGAAGCATCTTTCGAAGAACTTGCTCTGCCTCGCCATGGTAATATGCTGGAAAGCGTGGGACTCGCGGAATAGGGAAGCAAATGGAGATATGGGTATCCGAGGATGGGAGCTACGGAATTGGAGCGAGGATTATCTCAGCATGTACAGGTCGGCATGCTTAGAGCCAACTATCACCAAGAGCCCCGCTCCACAAGTTCAGTGGACCCCGCCGCCAGAAGGAATAGTGAAAGTTAATTTCGACGCTGCATTCCCACCATCCCAGCCGCACTACAAGGTCGCCACGGTGGCTCGAAATTCCGATGGAGCTACACTCTGGTGGAGCGTCGCAACGTTTCCAGGCCATGTTCAACCAGTCGAGGGAGAAGCTCACGCTGCTCTTTTCGCAATCCAGCTTGCCCATGCAAAAGGTTGGCCGTCAATTATTATCGAAGGGGACTGTCGTCAAATTATTACGGCACTCCAAGGTGAAGACTTTTTGTTATGTCCTTACGGTGCTTATTTAGAAGACATTTGTACTCTAGCTTTATCTTTTTTTTCCTGTCGTTTTTCCTTTGTTCCTCGCTCTTGTAATAAGCTAGCTCATGGTCTTGCTGTATCCATGGACCTCGCCACGACTGAGGGTCTTTCTCTCCCTCCTCATTTGGCTTATCTAGCCTAATACAATTCCTTCTCTCAAAAAAAAAAAACTAAATCTATTAAATAATGACCTTTTAAGGAAAAACAATTATTTAGTTGAAGTTTTAGAAATTTGTGTCATTTGTAAGGGACTTTTGCATAATTTTCCAATTTAATATATAATATTGGGTTCTTTTGTGTTCTGGTTGTGTTATCGCTCGGGGGTTAGATGTTATACCTGATTATTTATCTTGGGTGAATCTGAACTATAAATTTGATTAATAACTATTCACTAAACACACATACACTTGAGTGTGTGCGTGATTATCTGTAGATATATAGTTCAAATATACCTTATAATCAGGTGTAACATCTAATTTCCCATCGGTCAACATAATCAAACAGGATTTATCATACATCTAATCTTTTTATGAAAGTTATTTGGATCTCAAACTAAACTCTACAAGAAATTTGGATTTTATTAATAAAAAGTTAAAACCATCACTAGTAGATAATGCTTTTTACTACCACACAAATACCGAAATACGTCGTAAGATACCAGAGGCGGACCCAAAGGGTTTCCGGTGGGGGCTAAAATGTTTTTATGGGCTAAAAGGATATAAAATTTGAATTTTAGGAGGCTAAAGTATATAAATTAATAGATAAATAACACAAAATATTAAAAAATAATAAAAAACAGGTAAAAGAAAATTTTCCTATAGGAGCGGGCCTCCTAAGACATACCTTGGGTCTGCCCCTGTTAAGATACCATATTCCTGGTAAAAAACAACATGCTACGAATTTACTACAAATTTTCTCCATATCGAATACGAACGTGATAAAAAAATTGCTACAGTAAACGACCGTAGCAAGTACATTTTTGTTACGGTAAATCTTAGCATTTACTACAACCCTATATTGTCACTGTAGTAAAATTAGTGTACCCTTGTAACAACTTTTTAATACAGCAAAAAGATCCGTGGTAAAAAAGAAATATTTTTCTACTAGTGTGTATGTGATAAATGAATATTCATATACTTGATTAATAACACATTTATTTGTTGTCAACACGATTGTACAATAATGGATCCAAAATCTTTTTACCAAAAGATACTAACTCCTCCATTGAATGTAATAATATTACAAATGTTACATCCAACAATATTATGTCCATCCACTTAGGAGTTGATCTTCACTTGGTGAAATCAACTAAATTAAAGCGAAAACTACTTCTAAACTGCGTAAATTAAATTGCGTTTTAACCATACCTCATCCTATCGAGAGGAAAAAATGAACACAATTTTTTTTTCTTCTTTTCCCGCTAATTAATTTCTCGAATTGTTACAAACAATTATCGGGCACGATAACACCACCAAAAGTTCCGCCGATGTTTTTGCAGAAAGATTGCGCCTTTTTCGTGTTCATATAAGTAAGTTTAATATCCTTTAATTTGATGCCTGCACATGGATTAGTATGGCTACAATCAAAAGCCATAGCAACTTGTGTTGCTGATGTTCCTTGGATATTTTGGTATGTCACTTGGCTTATCTTTATTCCAGAACCCTATCATAATTAAAATAAATAAATAAATAATATATAATTAAATTTAAAATAGAAAATCAAATATATCTAATAGGGAAAGAAAAAAAAACAATTTTATCCCTTAAATACTATAAATTAAGATTATATATAATTAATTATTGTTGAGAAATCGCATTTAATACCACAGTTAAACATTTTTTTTAATCATAGATCGAACTGAACATCTTACTAACTAATTAATAAATTACGCAATTTTTTTTTTAAATAATCCAATTTAATTTATTTGATTCTAAAAGAAGTAATGCATAATTCACGTGTCCCTAAAATAAATAATTTTGATAGCATTTTTTTATTATTAATTTATTATACATTTTGTACGAAAAAATATAAACCATATGAATTTATTTGAGTTCAAAAAAATTGTGACGTTGAAATAAAAAAAAAAATTGTAATTTATAAAACTATAAAATAATTTAGTTAGTTTTATTTGAATAATACCTGGAGAGGACAACCAATGTTGTTGGGGCAGTAGTTTTGGTCTATAATAATTGGGTTCTCCACATTCTTCATAACGATGTTTCGATAACTAATGTTTCGGACAAACCCGTTACTGGGCCGGGCCCATGTTTTTATCCGAAGCCCATTGTCCGACCCGGTAAAAATCGAGTTTACCAATGTCACATTTTCGACTCCGTTTTCGTTAAAATCTCGACCCAAACTCCCTATGCTGAAAAATTAAAATGAAATAAATGTAAGTTATATGTTGTGATAAAAATATATTTTCATTTAACTATTAACTAAAAAATACAATATTTTTAAACTTTATAACGCGAAATAGTTTTTGAACTCGTTTATATAAGAACAAATGACGCCCTTTTTTTCCGTTTGTTTTAAGGGTGGAAATTGGAACGTAGTTTCTGATTTCCATCGATTCCGATCCAAAAATTTTAAATTTGGAACAAATTTTTTTATTCTGAATTCCAAAATTTTGATTTTTGATTTTTCCAAATTTTTGGATCGGAATTATCGGAATATAGATGAGATTCTGATTTTCGATTCAATTTTAAAATTTGAAATTAATTACAAAATTCCAATTTTATTTATGAATATTACACTTATGCTATCAATATTCGTATGCACTTTATATTTCAGGTGATTAAAATTCGAAAATTTCCAAATTTCACCGATTTTGATCCCGAAATTTTAAATTTTGTATCAAATTTTTTAATTCCAATTTTCGTTCTGATTTCTGATTTTTTTTTGGAATGGTATAGTTTTTCACTTCTGGAGAAAATCTGAATTTTTTTCAAGTGCTAATTCCGATCCGATGCGTTAAAATTCCCATCCCTACATCAATATTGTATATAAGAAAAAAAACAACAGACGCATATAAATTATTACGAATTTACTAAAAACTATTTAATAATTAACATTTTAAATAGCAAAATTCGATCAGGACGAGGGAAAGATTATATAAGTTATTACCTGACACCATGTCCCGGGCCACATAGTATTTTCTCCATCCACAAATTTCTAGTCCCGGGCCCGATTGAAATACAGTCATCGCCTGTTTTAATGTTGCTATTAGTGATAGTAACCCCAATCGAAGATCGAACATGAATCCCATCCGTATTAGGGCTTAGGTCTGGAGCTATGATCCTCACATTACTCACCTTCACATTCTTGCAGCTATTAATCACAATGTGCATTAGCTGGCTATTAATCGAGGTTAACCCGCTAATTTCACCGTCGTTAACCCAATTAAATGTTATAGACTGCAAATTGAAAATATTTTTAATTAGAATTAAATTAAGGTGTAATAACATATATATATAGTATAACAATAATAAAAATATATGTTTACTACATCACATAATATTTAATAATATTTATCAATAAGTAATATAATATTCACAATTAAAATTAAGTATTTTCTTGGAATAAAAGCAAGTAGTTGACATTTGTGAAAGCTATGGCAACCAAATTAAACAAGGGTAGTTCAAAATACCAAATTTTAGTTAATTTCTTCAATGTTCACTTGAAGTTGCAAAGCGTTGAAAAAACATTGGATTAATTCCATATTTAATTGACTTTGTACTATTTTATTAGCTAGCTAGGTTTATTTATTTTAGATAATAAACCAAAAATGTAACCTAAAATGACGAACTTACCCTTGCTCCGACCGGGCAATTCTGGCCGGACTTCTTGCATGCCCATAAACCGGCCCCCTTAGCGTCAATAGATCCTCCAACCACACTAAGCCGGTTCACTTGAATAAACAGTATCCAATAGCCGGAGTTGCCAAGGGCATTATAGTCAATTGGAGCTACAAGGGTGCCGTCTATTTGAACCCTAATCGCACTCTTACATGGACCTCTGAACTCTGTGAACCTAATCAAGTAACGCCCTTTCGGCACGTAAATCGACGAAGACACCGTCGAGGCGCACGCGGATGCCCAAGCACTAAGGAAAGGCCGAGTCGAATCGGTCGTTCCGTCCGGCTTTGCGCCGAATTTGATCACGTTGAATGTCAATGCACCTTCTGCAATATTGACAAATAGTGGTAATAATAAGATGAAATGAAGGAATAAAATGGACCATAGAGAAATCATATCTCTCTCTCTCTCTCTCTATTTAATTAATTTTTTTATTGAAGAAAGAGATGAAAATGGACGTTGTTATGAATTGTGATGAAAAAAGTGACAGTTGGGGTAGTATTTATATGGGAGTTTGAAAATTTCAACGGTTATAAATAATATTAATTTAATTAAGAGAAACGTGGGCCACTATGGCATCGTGTTATGATATGTACGGCGTCATGTGATAAGCTATACATTGGTATATGGGAATTTTGGGTTAAACATTAATCATGTGAGCTTTAGGGATATTTGCAATATAATATTACATCTGTTCCGTTTTAATCGTAGTTTTTTAGTTTCACATAAAAATTAAGAATTTCATTAAATGCGTCTTGATTTTAGAGTAAAATATATATTTTTAGACTAAAATGACATTGTTTTATAATTAATAAGAGAGATAAATTAGTTTAAAAGAAGTGCTTAAAAGAGTTAATAAGAATATAAATTGGAAATTAAGTAATTAAAGAAGTGGTGGAAGTTTAAAGTGGCAGATAATATGGAACAATTTTTTTTTTAAAAGTGACAGATATGTTATGAAATGGAGGGAGTATATATATATACACACACACGCATACATATACATATCACACATACATATACATATACAATTAAACATCTAAAATGAAGTCGCTCTTCTACATCTAGGATTCTTGACAAGTATTTTTGAAATTTTGTACACTTCAACTTATCCATGTAATCGAAGGGCAATTTGTATGTTAATTAATAACTTTTACTCGACGGTGTTAGTGTGATGTTAACGTCAGGGATTGATGTGTATTTGATGTGAGAACCCTAACTAGGTCGTCATGCCTGTAAAGTGTATTTAACTCGACCTTTTTTTCTGTCATAGCTTTGAAGTACTATTTGTCACTTTAGATTTTTAATGTTGCGTTTATTGCAAACTTTCTCAACAAATTTACTCTTATTATTAGCCTTGATTTGTGAATGATTAATGGTGAAACAAATATTTAATTATCGGGGGCAAACACTTTGAATGTTTTTATTTTTCGTTTTTAGAACTTATATATGAGTCCTATGAGTCCTTGGAACTGTCAATTTCACTCCATATGATATTATCAAGTGAAAAGATGGAAAAACCAATGTAATTAGTTATGGCTTCGCGCGTGCGCTGGGATTTATATATGAATATTCGATTATTCACCATAGGTGGTTAAGTGAGTCAAACTAACGGGTTTGAGTGTATTCGTGCAAATTTTTGTTGTTAAAGTGACAAAGTGCATAAACTGACAAAATATAGATGGCAAAATGCTATTAATCCACTAACCAATGTAAATTATTGATCATTTAATAATAGTAATTTTCAACTTAAAATGCATGCAAGATCAATAATTCATAGAAAAATGAAGTCAATTAAAAAAAAATTATTTACATGGAAATATGCCATAATAGTGGGCACTGGCGGATCTTCTAAGGGGCAAGGGGGGGGGCTGTTGCCCCCCCCCAAGAAAAAAAAAAAAATTTTTTTAGCTATTTTGATCTAATATATTTTGAATATTACTTTTGGCCCCCCCAAAGATTTTGTAAATATGTTTCTTAACCCTTACTTTTTTTTTTTATTCTCCATAATTTTATATAAATTATAGATATATATTATATTATAGATATGTGTCGTAATTTTTTTCGCAGTATAAACCTATTTTTTCAATGTCTTGTGAACCTAAAATTTTTTTCGGGGCGTTGCCCCGAACCCCGAAATTTTAGTTAGCCCCCCCTACATTCTAATCCTGGTTCCGCCCCTGATAGTGGGCAAGTGCATGGGATCAATAATTTGTACTAAAGTACGGTATTAAAACGATATTTTTCCCCTTAATAGTCAAACAGATTTTTTTTTTCAAGTCTACGAAATTAAATTGGCTGAGAAAGCCATGTGACACGTGGATTTATCACGGAGGATTATTAGGCGGGATACTGGCTGATTTTGCAGCTATTTTGTTCTTTTTTTTCTTTTTTTCCCGGGAAATAATTAGTGAGAGGAATGTCAAAGTAGTAAGTACAAGAAATGATTGGTTTAAGTAAAAACATGTTACTTTTGTTGATTAATAAATATATGGTAAGTAGAGCTTCCAATTGGGTTGGAAAAAAAATTGAGATGAACATGTTACTTTAATTTTAGGTATAATTTTTCTCAATATATCTAAAATGTATTTCTAACAATGGCTATTGATCATCAACATTGGATCTAGAAAGAGTCAATCCAACTCATTGTATTGAATAACATGTTAAAATATGGGTAAATTACACTCATCCATGACGTAAGGTCTATTTATGAAGGGAAAAAAAATCCTCACTTTTCATAATTATATCTATGCCCTTGCAATATATAGATTTCATACATGAACACCCTGTTGTAGGTGGTGGATGTAAGACATTTATAAACTACAGGGGGTTGGATGTAATTTATCAAAGAAAATGGGTATTTTTGTAATTACACTTTACCTTGGAAGGTGGTTGTTACATATCCTATACATATTATCCCTTATATGCTTTAATATATAATTAATTCGACTCGTGAAATCTAATTACAATTATTACATGGATTTTTAAAATTAATAAATCATATATCCAAATATATTTAACCAATAAGGCCTAAGTTCATTATACATGGATTATTTACTTAAATAATCCATGTATGATTAATTTGGTCAATTAGACTTAAATTTATTTTTTCATGGATTATTGGAGTCAAAAGCCTAAACTAAGCCCATGAAATATTAGAGTTTACTATCCATTTGATGTAAATTTTATTTCCTTGACAATTTAGAGAGCTTTCTATTCTACGAAAAATATCCCGGTTGACTTGATCATCGGAGGTTAATCGCCGGGCCAACCCCAGCGAGTCACCGAGTGTTTGTCTCGGTTTTGTAGGTTGGAGCGAAGAATTCTACTATGCACATAAACTATTGCATGGCATTCTGACTGTAACCCCGCATTCTTGGATATCTAGCAGGATATCTCGCTTTCCCAGTTTATTTGAGTTTGAAGATTTGTGAGTGTACTGAAGTATCATCATTTCATTTTGGCGTTGTCTGTGGAAACATCTACCTACGCACGTGTTACGAAATGAGATAATCAAGCGTTAGTAATCCGCCGTCCGATCCTGGGGTAGGAGGTCCCAGCAGACCTCCTCCACCCGAGAGGGAGTGATTCCACCCTATCCATCTCCACCCCCAAAGGCCGAGGACAACAAACCCCACCGGTTCTGAGGTGCCCGTCGTGCATGCATTTAACAAAAGCGGCCCTAAAGGCCATGTTAGGCGATATGGTAGACAAAAGACTACGATTGAAGCAGTGACCCATTTACATCGCCACCATTAGGGGCCGTAGAGGGTGTGGCCCATTTACATCGTCCTTCTAGAAAATCAACGGTTTTAATTTGTATATCAAAATATAAGAGCAACTCCAACCCATTGTTATCAAATGGGGTTATCAAATACTCATTTGATAACCAGGATTATACTTTGATATCTCTATATAACTAGTGAACTCCAACCACAAATATCAAAAAACAATTATCAAACAAATTTATGATTATTTATATATTATTTAATTTTTAATCCATTTTAAATAATCATACAAACCGATTTTTCTGGTAAACTATCTTCAAAATCAGTATTAATGAAAGTTTTACCTTTTCAATAGAAAAAAAAGTTATATATAAATAGAAATTATTTTTTTTCCGTGGAACTTTGTTGAAGCTCTAGAGAAAGAAAAAAAAATATGTTTAAAACGTAGAAAATTTAATTTTATTCTGTTGAGAGTTTTTTTCCAGTGGATTTGTTGAAGATGTAGAGAATTTAATTTTATTCTGTTGAGATTTTTACGTAAAAAAAAGAAAACTCAATTATGTTGAGGTTTTTCTTTTGAGATTAAATTCTGATCGGATGAGCCGATATTTAATATAAATCGGATTCCACTAATTTTTTGACACGTGGCACTTTTAAGTCCAACTCTAAATAAATTACGCTATTATAATTAGGGTTAGAGGGGTTATGGGTTCTGCTGGGGTTTTCTTTTTTCCTGCTGAGGTTTTCTTTTTTCCTTTTTTTTTTCAATTATTAGAATACTAATTATATTTTAATTGAAATTATCCACGTGTCAATCATCCTATGGCATCCGATTTTCTTATTAAAACAGACCATCCGGTCTAAATTTACACCCTTTTCTTTTTGCACGTGCTCCTATTTTGTAGGAGAATATTTGATAACTATTTATTTGGGATGTATTTTTACTCCCCGAAGGATGAGTTATCAAAATAGAACCCTATTTTACTAAACCATTGGAGGAGAGAGTTTCTAAAATTGGAGAGTCAAATGGAGGTTAAGGGATTTGATAACCCATTTAATAACTCCGTTGGAGTTGCTCTAATATATCTTAAAAGGCACTAAATGCTAAATATTTGAAACCGAAAATATTGTAATCACATGTAGTTCTAATGCATATAATTCCTTTTTTTTTTTTTTTTGAGTAATTCTAAAATGTATAAATGTTATTTTTAACAAATATAGTTGTACATATTACTATAATATATATTATGCTTGAAGTCCAATATGTGGTATTTATTTAAATTAGAAAAAAAAATACCATTATCTTCTAGAATTTGCTAGGGTTTTTGAGTGTATGATCGTTATTGTTTGTTTGGATTGTATACAGTCAGATAAGAAATTTGTTTGTTTGAGATCTTGGTTTTGGATTTGTATTGGGATCGTTCCAATTTCCAACTAACAGAGATGTGAAATGACACACACAAAATTGGTTTGATTTGATCATAAACCAAAAGAGGAAATAAAAAGAAATTGGACGGTGGAGATTGGTTGATTGGTCGGGACTTAAAATAGTGTAATGACTAATGATTGAGCACGTGCAGAAAAAAACAGTTGACAAGTTGCAAAGATGTAAGGGTGATAATGACATTACCCCGTGCCACCGCGGGGTCGAGGCCCCTCCCTTCCCATCCTACATGTGCATGTCTCGACAGTTTATGTTAAAATAACTTTAAGGTTTTTGTGATATTCGTAATTACAGTTACATCCCTGAAAAAGTCACTAAAGTCAAGATTTCGTATCATGTGGACCGATATGCATTATATTTATATCTCGCGGGGCCGTTAATGCTACCATAGACGAAAATTTATAAATCTTATATAAAACAATAAGGATTTAAAAAATGTTACGAGAGCCACGCCGCCCCCGAGCTCTATGTTGTCTCCACCACTGTCTGAAACTAATAGTTCGTTAGAACCGTAACATAATAACTTATCCAATGCATTCTTATGTTAGGGTTCCTAACGAATGTTTCAGGGGAGTGATTGTAGTTACGACTAAGAACATTCATAGTTGAAGGTCGATGTAATTATCCAAACAAAATATGTTTTTTCGTAATTTGACCATACCTCAGTGGTGGTTGTAATTTACCCTTATATATATTACTCATCAACTACTCTAAGAATGGTTCATCGATGTAACATAATACCCTAAGGCTCCGTTTGGCTGTCAAGATAAGTCATGATTAACTAAATAGTTAGACTTAGGTAGATGTTTTGTGTCCCAAATAAATTACCGGCTCGACCCGCAAAATTATATAATCACGGTTTATCTTGCCTTATCTTGGATTATCTTGCCTTCTAGTGAGTGTTTTTTTTGGTTGTACGTTTCAAGCTCTAATAAAATAATTAGGTCTAATCAGATATTTAATCTTATCTTGGCTAATCTTATCTTGCCAACCAAACAGGGCCTACGTTTAAACCATGCTCACAAAGGACCCTTTAATTCAAGTAATTTGCAATTTTAAGAAATCCCGACAGTTTCGACACTTTAACTATGAAAAAATTCATTTCTCTCAAACCAAAATTCCAAAAATTATGAAACTTAAACCCAATACTTATTGTATGGGTCCAAAATACCCCTTTAAAACTTTTTTACAAAGTAGTTAGCCAATTAAGATATATAACTAAAACAGTAGTATGGTAATAATATCATAAACAACAGAGCTAAGTGACTTCAAAAAATATCTAACAAATTATCCTTTTGTTACCAAATAATATTTATTTATTTATTGATGTGCATTAAATGAGCTCTGCTAAGGCGTGTTTTGCGTGTGTGTGTGTGTGTGTGTGTGTGTGAGAGAGAGAGAGAGAGAGAGAGAGAGAGAGAGAGAGAGAGAGAGAGAGAGAGAGAGAGAGAGAGAGAGAGAGAGAGAGAGAGAGAGAGAACAATATAATAGTGTGTGGTAGCTGCTTTTGTATATTTATATTTGAGTCCAAAATTGGAAATTAATTAAACCTTCGTCAATAAAAAAAAAAAAAAAAAAAACAGATAGCAATAATTAATGGGAAGATCACCTTGTTGCTCAAAAGTTGGACTGAATAGAGGTCCTTGGTCTGCTGAAGAAGACACTCTGCTCACCACTTACATTCAACTACATGGTGAAGGCCAATGGAGATTTCTCCCCAACAAAGCTGGTAATTTTATTTATTGCAATTAGTGTTTTTTTTCCTTATACTTAATTCAAGGGTAGCTTTCACCTAGCTGCACACACATATACATACACATATACATGTATAATATGTGAGTACATTATTATATATGATATTCGATACATACGTATGCAGTGGCGAATCCAGTATTCGAAATTGATAATTTTTTAATTTTTTTTTTTAATAATTTACAATTAATAAAAATGATGGATTAAAAATATAAGCTATTTGACAAAACCCCTTCATATATTGAATTTCGTCTTCATGATATTAGTCATAAACCCAATTAACTCGAATTATCCAAAATGCCTCTATTTAATGAAATTGAACATATTATATTGTTATGGAAAATCAATTAATTTTTATTTTTTATATATATCAAATTCCCCTAATTCTCTGCGTCTTACGCCATTTCATTTTCTGTTTTTCCAATTCTTTTTGATTTTTTAATGGTTTTCCTTATTTTAATTTATAACAAAAATTGGTTATTCATTATTTTTTTTTAATTTTAGTTTTAAATCGATAATGTTTAACTTTTTTTGAAAAATCCACTACATATCCATCGAAAACCACTATAAATTTATCGAAAATGACTAAGGAATTGTAGTTAAAATTACTGTGAAATTAACGTACCACATTGATATTAATGTAATCCATTACAAACTTCCGAAATCTACGTAGAAGCTTGTCTTGTCAACGGTTTTTAGGTAGAGTTTGTCACACATAGTTAGCTAGCCTAGTGTACTGTAGTATACACATCTCGTATGATCTGCAAGCTATTAATATACAAGAGTGTAGGTTTACCATATTCACTTATATGATTGGTTGCAAGACCCTTCATTACAAGAGTCTCGGATATATGTATATATTTGGCCCCCATACATAAAATCTTGGTTCCGCCACTGAATAGGTCTGTTGAGATGCGGGAAGAGTTGTCGACTGAGGTGGATGAATTATCTTCGGCCGGGACTAAAAAGGGGGAATATAAGCGAAGATGAAGAGGATTTGATCGTACGGCTCCACGGGATTTTGGGAAATCGATGGTCTCTGATCGCCGGCAGATTGCCGGGTCGAACCGACAACGAGATCAAGAACCACTGGAACACATACCTTCTCAAGAAACTCAAGAACAACAAAGATTCTCCCGAATCTCCAAAAACAAAGAAATCTACCGCCACCGCCGCCAAAGGCAAGAAGAAAAAGAAACCGAAGAGGAAGAAGAAGAAGAATATAGTAAAGGTTGACGAGGATAAAATCGGCAATAACGAGAAATTAATAGAGTTGAGTGCTCAAAGTAAAAATGAAAGTAATAATCCTCCTAAGAGTAAGGTGTATATGCCGAAGCCGACAAGAGTTTCGCCTGGGTTCTCATATGTGCCGCCGGTGGAGGAGTTGCCGCAGCTGTTTGGGGTTTTTGGTGGCGACGGAGAGGAGGAGGAATTTGATCTCGGCGGTGGTTATATTCTGCCGATGCTCCGCCCCTCGGATTCATTAATACCCAGTGAAGTGGACATGCTGGAGAAAGTTTACAATGAATATCTGCAGCTTCTATAAACCAACAAAGAAAAAGAAAATTATTATTAAATAAAAAAGTGTGTGTAAAATAAGTTACGTTGATTTTTTTCGTAATTCAATCTTTTAACTCAGTGGTGATCGTAATTTACCTTTATATTTAACTACTGCGATAAATAAAATGTCTAGAACCGACAGAACAGTGCATTACAAGACTTTTTGAATGGAACACTTCAAAAAGGAATTAGAAATATGAGCTTAGTATCTGGAACTTCTGTGTAATTTCTAATGGCTAAGAAAGTCCCTATGTTAAAACAATTAGCATATATCCCCTGTTTTACATAGTCAACGATATTAAGGTCTCTACGAGTTGGTCGTGTGATATAGTCGCCAAATGTGAGACTGGGGTTCGATTTTTTTACGTGAAAAGACCAAAATACCCTTTAAATTATAAATTTAAAAAATAAGCCCCAAATAAAGTTTTCAATTTTTTCAGTTCAGTCCCTTGAAGTTTCAGAAAGGCCCTCTTCTTCCTTAAGTCAGGGACTAATTTGTAATTTTCCAAAAACTGAATATAGTTGACTGCCGCTCTCCTTCCGGTGAACACTCTCTCCGGCCTCACCTCCCTCCCAGGGCCGGTTCTGAGGGGAGGCGAAGTAGGCGGTCGCCTAGGGCCCCCGGATTTTTTCAAAAATTTAGGGCCCCCGAATTTTTTTATACCCTTTATATATGAACATTTATTGAAAAAAAATATATTATATATATAATTATTGAGAATTTTAATTCATAAATAGCTATGTATCAACGATTCTTACTTGTTTCTAGAATTCCTCTAATCATGAGGGGCCCCTAATTATTAAATTTGTAATGTATTAGTTATTTACTTTTATATATATTCACTTGTTTTAGTGCAATTTCATGCAAATTATTCTTAAAAAAATCGGGGGCGCTGCCCCCGAACCCCCGTAAACTTTAACCCTACTATATCACAAATTTTTAGCCTTGCCATTGGCTATGTACCTTACAAAATTGAGTTAAAATAGAGTTTATCACCTTTTAGAAAAAAATAAGTTTTATTGTAGATTGTAGAAGGGGCCCCATTTTTTATCCGTCTTCAAATCTCGCCTAGGGCCCCCAAAATCTCAGGAACGGCCCTGCTCCCTCCATATCCTCAGCCTCCGCTTCGCCCCACCATTCCGACGAAATTTGGTTCGGTTTGGAGCTAAGATTCAAGCTCATTATTCTTCTGCAAAAAACACATCAACAACCCGTGAAATCCAAGAAAAATATTTGCCCATCGAAAACAGAGCTTTTTAGAGAGAAAAATCCACGAAAAAAGCTATTTTATGCATTTTTTGACGTCTTCTCTGGGCGTCTTCAGATAGTAGCCCACCATTATAGTCTTATAGGCAGTGGCGGATCCACTATAATTCTAGGGTGTGCAACTGCGCACCCTTGATTTTAAAAAAAAATATTCCTTATATACTGATCCAATATATTATGTTAGAATATGCGAAATGTTGACAAGATAAAGTTGTACGTGGTTCAAGTGGTAAGTAGGTACATTTTTGCAATGTTGTTAGAACCGGACCGAACCGGCCGGTCGGACCGGTTCAACCTTGACCTGGCTTCGAAGCAGTCCGATCTGACCTCTAAACCCGGAAAAAAATGAAAATCGGGGTCAAATGACCGAAATCCGGTTCGACCGAGTAAAACCCGAGAACCGGCGAGTCAGTCAAAAAACCCGGTTTTCGGCCAAAACATCTCAAATCACCGCTAAGTTGGTTATTTATGACTAGATTTGAGTGAATCTACACGGGACTTAGTGATGGGTGGCCGGATCTAGTCATGAGTGGTCGAAGAATTGCCGGATTCGGTCATGGGTGATCGAATAGCGGTGGTGAATTGCCGCATTAGAAGAATAAAGAATGGAAAAATATATAGTAAAAAGTGGTGTGAGATTGATAAAATTGAAAATAATAGGTGGAAGATTAAAAATGTAAAGAAAATAATATTTTTAAAATATTAAAATTAATAAAATAATAATAATATATTAAAAAAATCAAAAACCCGATTGATCCGGTTCGACCCTATAAAACCGTGACCCAAATGATCGTCCGGTTCCATGGCCGGTTCGGTTCTGACAACATTGCATTTTTGTTTAATATGTCACAGGTTGAGTTCTACTATATATCTACAAATAAAAATTGTTTTTCTTATTTAACTTTTATTTATTAAATTTTCATTCACACTACATTTTCTCTCAATATTTTTCAATTTTTTTCAAAATATAACTAGAGTGGACTACAAGACTTTTTGAATGGATCAACGAAGTTTACTTTTTACTTATAAACCAAAAATGCATTAAAAATATATATGTATTATTACAATTTTCTCAACAACTTCAAAAATGCCCTCCAATATACGAGCAAAAATAGCACTACATGATCTCGGAAATTAAATCTACAAACAACCTTTTGGGAAGACAAAACCAGCACAAAAACCTCGGGGGTTTTCCCAATCCGAGAGGGTGGGCTTCTTCAAATGGTTTATGTAAGGGAGATCAATGTTCTTTAGTTTTTTTCCCCGACAAGGATTCGTCGAACCCCAACCCAATGTTCCCCCTTTCTGCGCCCCCGATGTTCCTCTTATGCTTTCGAATCTCCCTGGGCTCCCCGTCCCCCCTGAATTCTCCAGGCAGTGGAATATTCAAATATAAACTTCATATATATATACCCCCCCCCCCCCATATATATATATTTTTGTGTGGGTGTGTGTGTGTGTGGGGGGGGGGGATATGGGGAATTACAGTTTTCATCCCTCAAGTTTGCACCGATTTCACATTTGGTCCCTCATGTTCCAATAATTTAACATTTTGTCCTTTCCGTCAATTTACCGTTACTCCGTTAGTTAAGACAATGATGGGTACACGCTTGATTCTGTTAGTTTTAACAGGAAATTGACGGAAATGACTAAAAATGTTGAATTTTTAAAACATTAGGGACCTAATGTGTTTTTTGTAAACATGGGGACCAAATGTGAAATCAGTGCAAACTTGAGGGACAAAAACTGTATTTTTCCCTATATAGTTTTGGTCTCTCACGTTTGCACCGATTTCACATTTCGTCTCTCATGTTCACAACAAACACATTTGGTCACTCATGTTTCAAAAATTCAACAGTTTTAGTTTTTTCCGTCAATTTTCCGTTAAAACTAACTAAATCGAGGGTGTGCCCATCCCTTCCTTACCTGACAAACTAACGGTAAATTGACGGAAATGACTAAAACTACTAAATTATTAAAGCACGAGGGACCAAATGTGTATTTTGCAAACATTTGGGACCAAATGTAAAACCGGTGAGGCGTGAAAACTGTATTTTTTCCATATATAATATGTTACTTATAATATTTTTTTTCATTCAACTTCGAACAACCCTCGGATAAATATTAAATTCGGCGCTAGTGTCGTAAATGTACCTTAGGAGAACAACTCTGATGAGGGCAATAGTCTTGATCAATGATTATGGGATTCGAGACGTTTTTCATGACGAGATTCTTGAATAAAAGATTCTTCGCATATCCGTCACTTGCCCTCGGCCATGACTTCACCCTAACGCCGTTTTCTGTCTTTACGAAGATTGAATTCGTGACGTTCACATCTTGCACTCCGTGCTCCCTTGTATTTCGACCTAGACTTCCAATGCTGTCAATCAAATTAGAAAACAATTTTTTTTTCAGATCCAAATTTTTTTCTCGACATAGTCGAATCGTGAATTTGAAAATCAGAACGAAGAAAAAATATTATAAAATTGGATTTTTGAATGATCAAAATCACCCATTTTGATATCCTAAAGCTTCCTAAATCATTTAAAGTATTAGAAATCGGAACCAAAAAAATATTTAAAGGTCAGAAATTGCAGACCATAATCGTCGAAATTCAAAAATTATTTGGGCTTGGCCCGTTTCAAATTTAATTTCTCAAAGTACCTGATGCCATGTCCGGGCCCACATGAAATTTTATCCATCCGCAATTTCATGGAGCCCGGCCCGACAGATATACAGTCGTCTCCTGTCCCAATATTGCTGTTGCTAATTGTAATACCCGTCGACGATTCAATGTGGATTCCATCCGTGTTAGGGCTTCGACTTGGTGCAACAATTTTCATTTTTTGTAAAAACATATTCCAACACCCGTTGATCGAAATATGAACTCTTTGGCTGTTGAAAGATTTCAATCCACTAACTAGCACATTGTTGCACGATTGGAACGAAATCGACTGCAAATCATCGCATTCAATAATTAATTAAAAAAAGGAAAAAGGGTATTTTTCGACAAAAGGAAATATGATAAATGTAAAATGTGAAATGACCAACGTACCCTTGCTCCGTACGGACAATTGTTTCCTCCACTCTTACAAGACCACAAGCTAGATCCCTTAGCATCAATAGCACCACCAAAGATCGAAAGCCCGTTGATTCTATAAAACATAATCCAAAACTCGTTAGAGCCAAGAAATCGATAGTCATTTGGAGCAATTAAAGTTCCGTGTATTAAGAGCTTCATATTGCTCTTGCATGGACCCGTAAAAGATATCGATTTCACCAAGAATGTTCCTCTTGGGACAATTATTACAGCAGTTGGTACAACCGAGTTGCATGCTGCGTTCCAAGCTTTAAGGAAGGACGACGTTGAGTCCGTTTTTCCATCTCCTCGTGCCCCAAAATCGACAACGTTGTAAGCTGTCGAAGTACATAGTTTTACTGCGATAGCGACGAGAAATAATTTGCAAGAAAATGGGACAACCTTAGACATGATGTTTTTCTAGTGTTATTCAAAGGTGGAGAGACAAAAAATGAAACTAGGGTTTGAATTTATATACTGTCTAACTCATGTCTAGAGAATTTTAAATATTGATGACCAGTTAATTTGATAATTAATTTCACTTATTAATAAATATATATATATATATATATATATATATATATATATATATATATATATATATATATATATATATTTTAAATAATTAGTCAAAGTTTATATTTTCTTGGAATTCTATTCCAAATTAGTCATACATATAAATTCATATCAATATGGCACCGTTTATATACCAACGAAATCATAACTTAATTAATGAATCTTGATTCATGTGATTTCATTTGTATCACCTCGGCATAATTAAACAAGATTTATTAGCCGTTTTGCTTTATATGTTGATATCTGAATTCTGAGACAAGTTTTCAAATAATAATTTCATATCGTAGATTTATTAGTTATTAGTTTGGATTTCAAAGTAATGTACACAACAAATTTGGGCTCTACGAAATTAATAGTCCAAACACGATTAGTTAATTCTTACTCTTTTTTTTTTAGTCAACTAGTTGGATCAGGATCCTGTTAGGGATGACAATGGGTCGGTTCTGGAGCGGGTTTGTCTAAACCCGAGATCCGATCCACGAAAAATATATAAAACTCAGACCCGCCCAACCCGTTTTAGCTTAAACCCAGACTCGCTTCGACCTATACCAGAATTAAACGGTTCTAACCCACTAAACCTGCTAGCTAGACCCGTTAACATCAAACAAAAAGTTTAACATTTTTTAACTTTCATAATATTTGTACTTGTATATTTTAACTAAAAGAATCTCAAAATTAAAAATGCAATATTTTGGAAATAATTTAAAAGCTTGTATATTTTAACAAAAAGAATCTCAAAATTAAAATGCAATATTTTGGAAGTAATTTAAAGTGAGTAATAAACTTAATTAATTAATTATATTTATCAACTTCTACAAAATATAATATATTTATACGGGTTGGTTCTAAGTCGGTTCAATAAAACTCGTAACCCGATCCAAAATCATTCGGTTCTAGGAACTAAAACTCATTACCCGACCAAGAACCGTTTAACTTACCAAATTCGCCCCAACCGGGTCGGTTTGAAGTCTCAGACTCGACAAACCCGCACCCATTGCCGTTCCCATAGCCGCCCTGACAACACAAAATCTTGTTGAATCCGAACCACATTAAATTTGTGTCTTGTTTATTTATGTTGTTACAAACTGTTTTACGAATTGTTACAACACTTTACGCAACCGTAACGAAAAACCGAATCTGACAAAAATAATTAATATTTGCACAAAATAAATTCTAACACTATATATTACCTATATTTTTATTTAGCCCACCCAAAAAACTAAATTAGTACAAAAAAGTCGGAAACAAATTTCTTTTCTTTTTCACCTTTCCTATTTTTATGGTTTAATTTGTCCTACATTATTGAACAAAAAAATCCTCAATTGTTTAATGGAAGCTGCTCTTGAACCCCTGAATTGAACCCCTGAAAATTTAAATTCATCATGTAAAAAATTCTTAGATTCGCCACTGTACATATATATTACACAACTTAAAATATACATATATGCAAAATGAAACACTTTGGATGAACAATCAAAACCAATTAAACGCACAACAATAAACTACACAAAGAACAATATTACATATTTGCATGCACACATCAAATTATTCATTATTGATAAATTTCCAAACTCAAACAAATATTATATTGAAGCAAAGAAGTCATGAAAAGCAGCCTCAAATATGTCCATCTCATGAGCAGGCAAAGCCACCATTGCACCCACACCACCATCAACGGCGTCTCGAAAAACCCAACAAATATCCTTCCGATGATTCACCACCGGACAACTGTACATCGGCTTCCCCCATGCATACTCCACCTCATCAAACCCTAATCTAAGCCATGAGCTCACCATATAATCCCCATGAGGAATCCCTCTATTCAACTCCAACAAATCGAAAGCCGATTTCACATACTCGTGCGTTATCTCTTTAGCCCCTTCGGTGATAATCTCGACAAGTTTCGAAAAGGGCCCGTTTTTTATCTCTTCACAAGTTTCCGAAACTCCCAAGGGAAGCACTGCATTGGCCGAGTACGAAGATGGCAATTGGGGGTTCACCCTTGGCCTAATGTCGATAACATTGAGCAAAGTCGAAACCCTATCTTTATTATACTCGATATTGCCGGAAAAGGCTTTGCACCGCCAGATGAGGGCCGCCACCACTGCAAAGGTGCTAATTTTGGCAATTTTGGAGCTCTTAGAAATATTGTCCTTTATTTGGGATATTTGAGTTGTGGTGAGTTTGAAGATTTTGAAGTCTAGTTTTTCTACACTGCAATCGAACACAGGGGGGTTTGACCCCGGGCCCACAGGGAGGTCGAGCTTAAGGAACTCGGGGTGTGGGAAGGACACGTGAGGTGGAGATCTAGCGGCGAGAATCCGACGGTCGATGTAGGGTACACTAGCTAAGGGTTTGTTTTCAAAAGACTGTGAAGCTAGGTTTTCGATGAATACCTTGGCACCTATCCCGTCGAATAAGATGTGATTCGTAGACATGCCAATTGCAAATCCACCACACTTGAATGAGGTAATCTGCAAGTTTTATTAGAAACGTATAAGATCCAAACGAATATATCTAAGTTAAATAAGTTTAATTTAATCATCGGCTAATGAGGACCTGCGGTGAAATACACCATGTGGTTTTAAACCGTAGATCTACATATATAACTATCCACTAAACACACATACACACGACTGTGTGTATTATTATATGTACATCGAGGGTTAAAAATTACATGGTGTAATTCATTAGAAGTAGTTCTACAAAACCTTTAATCATCCATTTTCTCCCCCATATTATTTATCATAATCATACGGTTTATTCCTAGTCAGCACTCAGCCAGACTTATGAGATTCTACACCTAGCAAAATTCATTGTGTTTTAAACCGTAGATCTATATAAATAACTACATACCCACTAAACACACATACACATAGGTGTGTGTTATTATATGTACATCTACGGTTTTAAACCGTAAAAAAATATATAATCTAAAAAACCTTCATATATACAAATTAAAGAAAACACAATTTTTCATATATATACATATATATATATATATATATATATATATATATATATATATATATATAGAGAGAGAGAGAGAGAGAGAGAGAGAGAGAGAGAGAGAGAGAGAGAGAGAGAGAGAGAGGATTTTGGTAGAACCTACATCTGGTGAAATGCACTATGTAGTTTTACACCATTGGTCTACACATAATAAATTAATAACACACACACACATGTGTATGTGTGCTTAGTGAGTAGTTATTTATGTATAAATCTACAGTTTACAATATAAAATGTATTTAACCAGATGTAGGATCTAGAGGGAGAGAAACATATGCATATAAAAATCTACCTGAAAAACACAGAGTGGCTGGTCAACTTCAGGTGGCAAGCTATCCAATCTCTGGACAGCCAGCTGTCGATATCCGAGGTTCGGATAAACGAGGTTCTCACCAATCTCATCAAGAGAAACATCGGACTTAGCCACCACAAATCCAGCCCCCGCCGCGTTGCAGTCTATCTCCAGCCGGCCCAATTCCCGGTTTAGTTTTAGTCTTCCCGCCATAAAATCATACGGAACCAACACCTTCTCCAATGCAAATTTGAACCTTTTGGCCACTATTTCTGGCGGGAAAGCTGGGTTTGCCTTGAAGAAATGGGCAGTCGGGATATCGTAGTTCAAGATTTGATCGATGTTGGACAAGAAAATCGATTTTTTCGGTGTTTCTTTGTATGGGAAGATAAGAGAGCTTTCTTGGAACTTGACCTTTAGGTCTTCCATGGAAGGAACTGCTGATAAGGCGGCCATGTGTAAATATATAGTTTGAAATTATACTATACTCAATCTTGTTCTGAAATAACTGATTAATATTTATAGAGTTCACTTATTTATATCCCAATTTTGTTTATTGCAATTAGTACCCCTGTATTATATTGAATTGCAGAAACACTACCTTATGTTATTTTATATGCAAAATTACCACCATATATCATTTAATATTTTTTAGTAATTAATTAGTACCACTGTCGGGTGTTGAGTGCTAAAAAAAAATTGAATTATGAAGAGGTCTTTGTTTTTGCTAACAAAATAACATAAAATATTGGAGAAAAAGAAAATGTATTAGGTGATAAGTCCGTGTGAAAGAGGTTGCATAAATTCGTGATTGAATTTTGACTTTATTCATGCAAGTGGTGATTTAAATGAGAGCGCGCTAATAAATATGACCTTGCATGTATAATACTCAACTACTCAAGGGCGAATCTTATTAGGGTTGTCCATGGGTTGGTTTCCCAACCAACTAACTCATTTTTTATTCATACTTTTTTTACGAATAATCGACTACCAACCAATTCGTTCAAGTTGGATCTCAATAATAGTTTATAATATGCTAAAAAGTTGTTTGGTCGGGTAATATTTGCCAACCAATTTTATTTATTGTTTCTTAATTTTATTACTTATCTAATATTGACTAAACTCAAAACACATGAACCTAATTTATGGACATTTACTATTCTGAAGTATTGAATTCTTGTTCAGTTCATGCTAATTGAAGAACACATAAAATTTCAATATGTTGTGTAGCTATTTTGATCTTAAGACACATGATATAAAATATTTAAATTTATTATAATATTGTTGAACTATTTATGTTTAATTGCAACATATATAACTTAATATTTTGATTTTTTTATTAAATATTGTTGAACTAATTATTAATTGAATAATATAATATTGTTTTAATAAAATATTCAAAAAAATGATTTTTTTTTTGAAATGTGGATGACCAATCAACCAACCCACCAATCGACCTACAAAGTTGGATGTCAACCAACATCTAACCCATTTAAGTTGGGTCGATAATAGTTTTCAATATTTACCATTGTCGGTTAGTTGAGTTGTGTTGGTTTAATTGCCGATAATCAACTAACCCAACCCGCGGACAACCCTAGGTCTGATTATAGGCGAGAGAAGAATCCGTTTATGATGTTCCATTTTTAGACAATAAAATGGTATTGAAAATATATACACAGTTCAATAATTTGAATAACCATAACTATACTATCTTACACACTTTTAAGTATTTGTTGGAATTCTTTACACTTATCTTGCAATTGATGTGAATGATATGTCTTAGATCAATTGTAATTAGTTAGACATTGAGTTCTTTTATCAAATTAATTTTATCTATTTCAAGAATTTAAAAAATTTTCACAATCATTACATTTTTCAATAATCTACGTTGTTTATCTCTATCCTTAACGAGTTTCGCTAAGTTGATATATATATATATATATATATATATATATATAATTTATGGTAAATTACAAACACCCCCTCAACTCCTCAAATTTAGTAGTAGAATCTTCGAGATTATATGGAATATTATCACTTTTGTACCCATTTTATCCCATTCAAACTCTACATTATGAAGCAAGATGATCATAATATGTGATTTTTAGCTTGTATATATCAGTTTGTGGTGCATCGAAAACTGTATTTCTACACAAAACGAGTACAAGCTAGAGCACATTTCACGGGATCTGATTATGTTGAATTTTGCACCATAAAGGTGGAGGTGTAAGAAAAAATCATAATTGAGGGAGTAGATGAAATTATCCTAACAAGAAGGGGATTTTTGTAATTTATCCATACCTCAGGGTGTTTGTAATTTACCCTATAATTTATTAGTTCCACTTAATGTTATCACAATGTCAAGTTTTTGTGATAGGGGGTGTCTTTCAACTTTCAATAGTTTAATGGAGGGTACTATCGTCCATATAAACACTAGATACTATTTTCTTACTTTGAACAGTAAATCCGGAGAGTTTTACTACTCCCTTCGTTCCTAAATAATTGTCATTTTTCACTTTTCACAAAAATTAAGAAACTCAATAAATATATCTTGATTTTAGTAAAATCATATAAAAATGGCTAAAACAACATTTATTATTTAATGATTTATAAGAGAACAATAATAAATATAATTTCATTAATAAGGTTAAAATAGGAAAAATACATTTAATGCAGTATTGGAAATCTAAAGTGACAGATAATATGGAACAAAATTTTTTTAAAAAATAGACAATTATTACGTAACAGAGGAAGTATTTGATAACCATAAATATCTTGTCTCCATTCGGACTAAAATTTACGGTAGGAGGACTTTTAACAAATGTTCAAATGGCAAAAAGGCCCATCACATGGGACTTAAATGCATTTTAGTCCACAAAAAAAAACAGTCTCTCAATTAAGCCCATCCCCATGTCTTTAGTCTAAAATACCCTCAATAATATAATTCTTAACAATTCCACCCATTATGTTCTAACTTCCTTAATATTACACATTGACCCCGGATTTAAACAAATATATCACATTAACCCCCAAAACTTTTTTTTTCAGAAAATAATTTTTTTTCTGAAATGTTTTTTTTTCCGGCCAGATTCCGGCGTTGACCGCCGGTCTCCGACGTTGACTTTTTTTTTTCTTTTTTTTTTTTTGAAATTGTTTTTTTTTCTGAAATTTTTTTCCGGCCGATCAACCACCGTTGACTGCCGGTCTCCGGCGTTGACTTTTTTTTTTTTGAATTGTTTTTCTTAGAAAAAAAATATTGTAATTAATATTACTGTCTTGGCTACTAAATTACTGTCTCAGACAGTAATATTACTGTTTGGGACAGTAATATTATGAATATTATTTTTTCGAACAGTAATATTATTAATATTATTGTCAAAGACAGTTAAATTACTGTTGGAGACAATAATTTAACATCCAAGGCAGGAATATTAATTAAAATATTTTTTTTTAAGGAAAAAAAAGTCAATTAACAGTTAAATTACCGTCTCCGACAGTTAAATAACTGCCGGAGACAGTAATTTAGCAACGAATACAGTAATATTAATTAATAATATTTTTTTTAAGAATAAAAAAGTCAATTAACAGTTAAATTACTGTCTCCGACAGTTAAATAACTGCTGGAGACAGTAATTTAGCAACGAATACAGTAATATTAATTCAAATATTTTTGAAGAAAAAAAAAAGAGTCAATTAACAGTTAAATTACTGTCTCCGACAGTTAAATAGCTGCCGGAGACAGTAATTTAGCAGCCAAGACAGTAAAATTAATTAAAATATTTTTTTAAGAAAAAACAAAAAAAAAAAAAAAGTCAACGCCGGCCAACGCCGGCGACCGGGCGGTCTCCGGTGGTGGCGGGTCAAAATTGGGGTCAAAATTGAAATTAGGGTTAAAATTGGTTAATTGATGAAATTGGGCTAAATTGGGGTGTAAATCATGAAGTTGGAGTTAAATTGGGTTATAATGAACTGGGGGTAATTTTGGTATATATAAAAAGATTTTCCTTATTTGCAAATAAGTATTAATGGACTGAATTTATTTGAAAGACAAAAAAATTGGATGTCCCTCTTTTAATTAAGTGCCCTTGTCATGGGCCTATTTGCCATTACCCCTTAACAAATTAATCCATTAATTAATAAGTTAATCTGACTTGGTAATTTTATTAAACAAATATTGTAAGTGTGAACAGCTATTTTTAACGGAATATTTGGTCATCTTGCGATATTGGTCTACTATTAATTTAATTAAGTCAACAGAGTTGTAAATTTGTAATTATGTGTGAATGTGTGAACATAATTTTTAACTGAACATTTGTCTTATCTGCCAAAATAAATAATGCCTAGGTATTTTAAAAGGAATAAAGATCCAAAATTCAGATTGGTATACCCACTATGCCTATTAATTAACTACCAATTTTCTGAAGAGAGTTGGGAGAAAAAAATTTTGGCTGTTGGAACATCTTCAATAATACTTTATTTATGTTTGTTATTGTCTTATTATAGAATTGAGTCTGTTTGTATTCAATTTCATTGAATACTAGTCTGTACTACTAGATTTCTGCTATAAATTGCCTTCAATAATAGGAATTTTTGTACGAAGAAATAATTTTCATAAGAAGAAAGATATTTACTTTTCTTAGTGTATTCTTTGAATATATATATATATATACACTGATGGATAATGATTTAAAGGCTTGTGTTGGTAATTTCCGCTGCATAATACACAAGCTTATATCAAATTATATGTGTAAATCTCTGATTTTGTATTGCATATCTTAATTTATATGAATTCGGCAGCATTGAATTCTTTCAACCGACTAAGCACACATGAATATGGGTGCGCGCACTATTATTTTGAAATGTAAAGTGCAAAACCACATGGTGTATTTCATCTGGATTTGGGACTACAAATCCGTGTAACCACCTAACTTCATGGAATCTCTAAATACCATTTTTTTTCCTATAAATAGACCTCTATTTGGATCATAATATCACATTAAAAATTACCAAACTCTCTCTCTCTCTCTCTCTCTCTCTCTCTCTCTCTCTCTCTCTCTCTCTCTCTCTCTCTCTCTCTCTCTCTCTCTCTCTCTCTCTCTCTCTCACACACACACACACACACACACACACACACACACACACACACACACAAAACCATTTTCTTTAATTAAGCAAACTATGTTGCTTAGTAAGAGTTAGGGAACTTAACAACTTTTCTTGTCATGAGAAATCCAGGGTTCAATTCTTAGTTAATAATAAAAATAATATTAATATTACAAAAGCAGCTATTAACAATGGCAACTTAGCCAACTCAAGTAATTTGGAAGCACCACTAGGATTAATAGATTCTGGCAAGGGTATAGGCATACTTCAGTTTTTTCAAAGAAAAAACATTTTTATTACTGGTGGAACTGGCCTTCTTGGAAAAGGTATATATATATATATATATATATATATATATATATATATATATATATATATATATATATATATATATATATATATATATATATATATATATATATATATATATATATATTTCATGAAAAGTACATATATAATTCACTTATTTTTTTTGTGGAAATTATAGTTTATATTCATTCATTTTTTTTTCTTCTAAATAAATATTACATAAAATTGTGTAGTTCTCGTGGAGAAGATATTAAGGTCGACACCGGTGGGTAAGATTTACGTACTCGTGAAAGCGGACGATCAAGAAGGAGCCGTTGATAGAATAGCCAAAGAAGTATGTTTTGCATTGCATGATTAGGTTTTTAATTAAAAATTTGGGTTAAATACAGTTTACACCTGTAAAGTATACTCTCTGTAGCACTTACCCCTTAGGTCTTAAGCACAATTTAATTTGCATGTTATATTTTAATACCTTAAGATTTTCTCTTGTATTGAAAATAATAACTAAAATAATAATTAAATTATACAACTAAAAATATTTGTTGAAAAATGGTAAAATTTGAAGATATTATCTTGCGTTAGGTACTTATTTAATAAATAACATTTAATTGTTGTAGGACCAATTAATCGAATATGTTCATATCGATAAATTTTAAGAAATCAATACATAACTTATATAGTAATCTTAAGTAGTTAAATTTATTTCAGTTCATTAATTTCTTAAAATATATTTCCATTCATTATTATAGAAATATATTAGTTTTTAATTATTTTCTAATAATTTAATTTTAGTTACTTTTCAATTTTATATTATCCAATAATTATTAGATTGTTATGTATATTATGTTTTAAATTTTAATATATAAAATAATTGATGTTGAGGGGGTAAGTGTTATAAATGATACTTTAAGAGGGTAAGTGTTACATAGACTATAATTCAGGGGTGCAAAGTGTATTTAACCCTTATATTAATGCAAATCTTTTTGCTTTTTTGTTAGCTTGTAAACTCCGAGTTATTCCGATCTCTAGAAGAAAAACATGGAAATTATTACCAAGCATTTATAAGGGAGACTCTGATACCAGTTGCTGGAAATATTTGTGAGCCAAACCTCGGAATGGACTCCGATTCTGCTCATGCAATCATTGAAAATGTCAATGTGATTATACAATCCGCCGCCATTACAACCTTAAACGAAAGGTTAAGTTTATTCTCTCTTCTTATTTCCCATCAAAATCGATCAAATTCAAACATTGACATTTTAAAATAATGTGACCTCACTTTCAAGACTATCTAAAATTTCACGCAGGTACGATGTTTTGCTCGAAGCTAATGTCAGTAGCCTTCAACACTTGATGAGTTTTGCTAAGACGTGCAAGAACCTTGAGCTCCTTGTCCATATTTCAACCGGTAAGTACATATCAAAAATGACGAATTATGAAATTAACTCTTTTCGTTTATCCCTAATTTATTAAATGCAATGTTATTATAGCATATGTCAACGGAGAGAAAGAAGGGATAATATTAGAAAAGCCATTGATTATGGGGGAGAATAGAAGAAACGACATATGCGAAACATCTCAATTTCCTCGTCTGAATATAGCCGACGAAGTAAACATGGTGGCGTTGAGTTCAAGAACAGCTTCTTCAAACTATGATATGACCAAAGATATGAAAAAGCTTGGAATGGAAAGGTTATCTTATTTTTTATTTTTTCTATCTAAAATTCAAACTCTATTAGAAATTGGAAAAAAATAGCTAGTACTGAATTGACAGAATTTGAACACTAGACCTCTACTCTAACAGTAGATGTTAGTTATCAGTTGGATTATTTATTATTGTTGCTTATACATTCTATGGAAACTAATGGGCCAAAATTACGACAAAAAAGTAAAATGTACACACGTGGTAAAAAAATGTGACCGTCTTCATTTAAAAGTCTGTACGTAAATCGAAAAAAAAATTAATAAAAAAAAATATATAAACTTATGTGAATTTTGATGTTATTTTAACAGAGCAAATTTGTACGGATGGTATAATACGTACCACTTGACAAAGGCGATGGCAGAAATGGTAATTAATGAAACGAGAGGGGATATACCGGTCGTCATCATTAGGCCAACTGTCATAGAAAGTTGCTACAAAGAACCTATCCCTGGCTGGATTCAAGGAAATAGGTGAAAAGAATATATATATATTTATTTATTTAAAAAAATATTTAATTATTTCAAATTATCGCGGAAACGAATTAATAATGTTGGTTGTCGCGTTTGTAGGATGTTCGATCCCGTAATTGTTTCATACGGAAGAGGACAGCTTCCAGCCTTTCTAGGCAAGCCTGATTCCCCCATGGATGTTGTAAGTTTACATAAACAATATATCATGTTTGAAAATATTATTCTAAATCTCTCTCTCTATATATATATATATATGATTTACCATTTTTTCATACTTTTAGAAATGAATAGTAATAATAAATTCACTTTAATAAACAGTTTTTGCAACTTACTGATCGTTTTATTTTACGAAAATAAGAACTTCAAGTTTGAAATAAATTTACATTTGGTAATTTACTTCAAAATTGGGAAAAGTGCAACTTTGTCCCTCAAGTTTGCACTGATTACACATTTGGTCCCTCATTTTCACAAAAAACACATTTGGTCCCTCATGTAGTCATGTTTCAAAAATTCAACATGTTTAGTTATTTCTGTTAATTTTCCGTTGTCACTAACGGAATCAAGCATGTGCCCATCACTTTATTAACGGATGGAGTAACGATAAATTGACGAAAATAACCAAAATGTGAAATTAGTGCAAACTCGAGGGATGAAAACTGTAATTTTCTCCTTCAAAATTATTTAATATGATATATCGAAAAATCCTATTTTGAGTACATAATTCGTTTCTTCTGAATAATTATGGATAATTGTTCACTGTCTTTGACTACTATTTGTTCCCAGATTCCGTTGGATATTGTCGTAAATGGAACAATTGCAGCGATAGCAAAGCACGGTTATATTCAAAAGCCGGAGTTGAATGTTTACCACATGTCATCTAGTGTCACGAACCCTTTACGATACTCGGAATTTTTCGAGTATCTTTACGAATATTTCAGTTCGGAACCTTTGGTAGAATCGGAAAGTTTAATTAGGGTGAACTACTATGATGATATTGAAAAAATTAAATATTTCGATAATTTCAATGATTTCTCGAAATATACACGAGAAGAAATATCTCGACGTGTTGGAGGAGGAAATGTGGTAGCAACTAAGAAGGCGCAAACGCAATGCAGAGCAAAGATCATGTATGCCGAGAACTTGTGCAAGATGTATGAATTCGTGGGGCTCTTCAAAGCAAGGTATGTATTATATCTCTATCTTAAAATTAAATGTTGAACTCATGTTTTATATTTTTGATCTAATTAAAAATCCGTTAATCGAACAATTTAACCCTTCTGACCATTAATACACGAACATATCCACTTAACAATACATCGAGAACTTAGACTGACGACTTAGGTAGTATTTGCAGAAGCTTAAAAAAAATGAATTCGGTGGTTACGACCATGAGTATCGTTAGTGATAAGTACTTAATTCTGAAAGTTTTGGGTGTTTGCACACTCCATGAAAAATCAACTTTAGTCAATTTATTTACGAGAAGTTGCTCCAGTGCTTTTCATAGTTCAGCCTAAAGCATGCAACTTATTTTAAGAGAAGTAGAAACAAAAGTTAGTACTACAAACACTTCTAAAGCGATTCTGAGCCACACAAAACTCAGAATCACTTTTCAATTGTTTTTTGCAAACACCACCTAATTAACAATAGATGAACACACGCACGCAACAACAAATAGAAAGATGACTAGCTAAGCAATACATGAATACACTCGAACATAAAATTTACGTAGAGAGAGCTTAGACTGAGAGCTTAACACTACATTAGTAATTGTAATTCACAACACATAGATAGCTTAGGGAGAGAGCTAAGAAAGACGAAATCGAACATGAAAATGCACATCACACAAAGAGCTTAATTAATATGTTCAATCAAAATAATCATTTAACTATATTTTTCCTTTTCCTTTCGTGTTTTTTTTTCTTCCCGAGATAGATTCCATGCCGGCAATACTCAGAAGTTGTTGTACGAAATGTCGAAGGAAGAGCAGATTAACTTTGACCTGGATGTAACAAAAATAGAGTGGAGAAAGTATTTTCAAGAAGTTCACATCCCTGGTTTGAGAAAGCATGTGCTTAACGAGAGAAGTATATATGTCTAGTTACACAATTATTTATCTCGACCACATGCACACTTTTTTCAATGTAATTCCGAAATTCATATTTGGTGTTGTGTTATGTTTGTGCCTAATAAAAATCAAGTTGCTGCAATATTAATTAGTGTGCTAAATTTGCTCTTAACTATTTAGCAAAATAATTATATGTTTGGTCCTTATACTTACAATCCAAAACAATTATTGGCCCCGAACATTTTCTTCCACAAATTTAGTTCTCAAACTTACAACTTTTTGCCAAATTACGAAATTACCAAATTCTAAGTTTAGAGATTGCAACTCGGAGAAATTTACCAAAACCATAGGCATGTAATTAAACTTGAATAAAGTTTTGGACTATTGGTAGAAAACGAAATCGGAATTGACGTCAAATTTTTATTTTGTATTCCCTAATTATAATTTAAAATACATTATCCATCGGAGTTTGCGAAGATTCACCATTTGTTTGCCGACCATTGGCTTTTGTTGTCGAAATCTGCAAGGAGTAGACGGATTCTTCAAACTTTCAAAGACCATCTTATTACCAAGGTCAAACTACCAAAATCCCCCTCACGAATTCATAATTACCAAAACCCCTCTCTGACTAACCGTTGATTAGAGTTCTTAACAGAAAAATGTGTAAGGACTATATTGGAGATAATTACACTTTTGGTTCCTATATAATACTCCAAAATTGATTTTAGTCCTTATATTATTCTTGTTACGATTTTAATTCTTGAATTAACTATTTTTTTTTTAACAATTATGGTCTACCATTTGATTTTGGTGTTAATTTGGAGTTTTGCACGTGAGAACGCTGAAAGAACACCTTTAGACCCCTTATGTAACTAAATTTTTTAACCAGCCCAAATTTCACTTTATTGTTACAGGTTCGTCCAAAAAGTGAACTTTATAATTGAATTTGTAATTTTATGTTTTTTTTTTCTCACATGCTCCTCCTTTCCAATATCAGTCTTATAACTTTAGAACAAAACGATCATATATATTTCATTCTACATAATATATTGCAATTAAGTACCCCTCATGGAATTAAATATTTTTATTACAATTACTAATAAGGTTAAAATTGGTACTTCTTCATAGATCCAAAATGGAATACGTTTCATGAAATTCCAAAACAAATTAAACACAGTCTTTTAACACTAACCACCCTTGTGTAATCTCTAATTGTTACAAAAGTATATGTGTTAAAACAATTAACAAAGACCCCCTATAAAAGTTAGTCAAAACCAACAAGTTGAAGGCGGATGTGGTGGTGATGGTGCGGCGGAGGGTGGATGATAATTGGATTTGGGAATGAAAATGATTTTTTTTTTCTTATCTTTCCTTTAAAATGTAACTTTGTTTTGTTTTCTTTTTTTCATTTTTTATTTAAAATTGTAATATTTATTAGGATAGTTTTGTCATTTCACGTAAGTCAACAAATAATTTTAATGTAAAGGGGCAGCGTGTTTCACAAAACACAACATTGGGGGTTTTATTGCTAATAATTTTAACTTGAGAACATGTTTTACAATTCGAGATTACAAAGGGGTGCATGGTCAGTGCTAATGCTCAATTAAACACACAACAATAAAATGAAAAAGAAGAACAATACTATACACACAAACAAATATATATATATATATATATATATATATATATATATATATATATATATATATATATATATATGCAGCAATTTGTCCGTCACAAGTGAACCAATATTGAAGCAATGAAGTCATGAAAAACAGCCTCAAATATGTCCATCTCTTGAGAAGGCAAAGCCACCATTGCAGAAACACCACCATCAACGGCATCTCGAAAAACCCAACAAATATCTTTTCGATGATTCACCACCGGACAACTGTATATCGGCTTCCCCCATGCATACTCCACCTCATCAAACCCTAATCTAAGCCATGAGCTCACCTTAAAATAATCCCCATGAGGAATCCCTCTATTCAGCTCCAACCAATCGAAAGCCGATTTCACGTACTCGTGCGTCATCTCTTTAGCCCCTTCGGTGATGATCTCCACGAGCTTCGAAAACGGCCCGTTTTTTATTTCTTCACAAGTTTCTGAAACTCCCAAGGGAAGCACTGCGTTGGCCGAGTACGAATATGGTAATGGGGGGTTCACTATTGGCCTAATGTCGATAGCGTTAAGCAGAGTCGAAACCTTATTTTTATCATCGGAAAAGGCTTTGCACCGCCAGATGAGGGCGGCCACCACCGCAAAGGTGCTAATTTTGTCAATTTTGGACGTCTTAGTAATATTGTCCTTTAAGTTGGATATCTGAGTTGTGGTGAGTTTGACGATTTTGAAATCGAGTTCTTCTATGATGCAATCAAAATTTGGGGGAGTTGACCCTAGGCCCACGGGGAGGTCGAATTTGAGGAACTCGCGGTGTGGGTAGGAAACGTGCGGTGGAGATCTAGCGCAGAGAATCCGACGGTCGTTGTAGGGTACAATGGCTAAGGGTTTGTTTTCGAAAGATTGGGAAGCTAGGTTTAGGAGGAATACTTTGGCGCCTAGGCCGTCGAATAAGATGTGATTCGTAGACATGCCAATTGCAAAACCACCACACTTGAATGATGTTACCTGCAAATAGTGCTTGAACTATAAGAATCGAGTAATATAGGGAAAATTAAAGTTTTCGTCCCTCAAGTTTGCATTAGTTTCATATTTGGTCCCTCATATTTAAAAAATTCAACACTTTTACTCATTTCCGTCAATTTTCTGTTAAAACTAACGGAATCAAACTTGTGTCCATCACTACTGTAACTGATGATGGACTGAGGGTAAATTGACTCAAATAACCAAATGTAAAACTAGTGCAAACTTGAGTGATGAAAACTGTAAATTACCAACTAATGTATTATATAACACACAATTAAAATGCATGAAAATTCTATACCTGAAAAACACAGAGTGGCTGGTCAACTTCAGGTGGCAAGCTATCCAATCTCTGGACAGCCAGCTGTCGATATCCGAGGTTCGGGCAAACGAGGTTCTCATCACCAATCTCATCAAGAGAAACATCGGACTTGGCCACCACAAAGCCAGCCCCCGCCGCGTTGCAGTTTATCTCCAGCCGGCCCAATTCCCGGTTTAGTTTCAATCTTCCCGCCATAAAATCGTACGGCACCAACACCTTCTCCAGTGCAATTTTCAACCTTTTGGCCATTATTTCTGGCGGGAAATCTGGGTTTGCCTTGAAGAAATGGGCAGTCGGGATATCGTAGTTCAAGATTTGATCGATGTTGGACAAGAAAATCGATTTTTTCGGTGTTTCTTTGTATGGGAAGATAAGAGAGCTTTCTTGGAACTTGATCTTTAGGTCTTCCATGGAAGGAACTGCTGATAAGGCCGCCATTTGGTCACTTCAATTTTTTGTATCTAAATGTAGAAGAACATGATGTCTTATTAATAAGCGAAATTTCATGCAACTGGTCCCCCGCCACTCCAAGAAAAAAAAAATCATTTGTTTTACCACAATTTACTTTTTTTTTAATAATTATTTAAAACTCGGAGGGGTGGTTTTTTTTGTAATTTTCAGACTTAGTCAAACGGTGTTAAAGTCAAAGGTCTGAAATCTAACGGCGAGGACCACATTGAGACAAATTTTCAAGAACAAGGGGCAAATCGATGCAACCGAGAGTAGAATCGAGCAAAGTAATATCGAAGAAAAGTACAATGGGGGAAAGTATAATTTACCCTAATATTTATTAACGTGTGTTTTTTGCCCCGAACCCCAAAAAATTGAATCTACCTCTATATGTACGTCCGCCCGAACAAATATTGGTCCGGATCCGCCCCTGCAAGTGGTGTTTTACATTTGAAAAGAACGAGACTACATAAATCAACGTCAATATAATCTTACCACAAATAAACAAAATACACTACGCTCATAAAAAATATGAGTGAAATTACAGTTTATACGGTTCTGCACCGAGCAAAATACTCCGAATAGATTTGTATTATTCATATACACACAAACACACACACACACACACCCATATTAGATCAACGTAAAAACTCACTTGATATTACCTTGACCGGGTATAAAAACACTCCTATCACCGACTTATGACATATTTCGTCCCTCCGTCTGTTTGATGTTGCTTGGAATACCTAAACGCAAGTGCACGTATCGTACAAGTAATATAGTGGACAATTAAGTCCAGATATCGATCCCACGAGGAATATTCTACTGTCTAATCGTAAGCGCTAGATTCTCACAACTATGTTCGCTCAGCCTACACAGTCTAATTAAAGATGATTAACTAAATTAAACTAAAAAATTAAAAGCAAATTAAATATCAAGAAAAATAAATAAAGACGAAGATTATCAAAGTTAGCGAGCCTAGCATTTTATCTTCCCACTATGTGATTATTGATTCCTCAATTATGCAAGCAAATAATTCGAATTACTAACCTGAGATGCTAAATTAATCATAACCCTATTCCGCGTGTATTATGATTCTATTACTCAACACTAAATTACTGTATTCCTACGCAATTCAATCAAGAACAAAGCATTAAGCACAAATCTCAATAATGGCTACCTAAGAGGTTAACTATATTCCTATGATAACACAACAAAGGCTCTTCTACCACAGTTCTAATTGTTAAACCGATCTTCCGATTCATGCGTTCAACAATAACAGTAAACCACATAAAGTGATCAAGTTAATTCACTTAATAAATCAAGTAGAAGAATAATCTAAATTAATACTTGCATAAAATCATGGTATTGGGTTCACAAATCCCACACAGGGTTCAACTAAAACCCTATAAACTAAAGACTTAGTTACTCGTGATTCTTATGATAAAGAAAATAAAATAAATAAATAAATTAAATAAGAAAAACTATGATTGAGTCTTCGTTGATCTTCTTTGCCTTGAATTTGCGTAAGAAAAAAAAAATGCCCCAATTGTGTGCTTGAGATGGCTTTTTGTAAGGTGGGAAAAATTGGGGAAAATGCAGTTTCCTTGTAACTTCTGAAAGTTTCTTTACTGCGCAGTCTTTCCTTCTCGGGTGTTTGACTTCTCCAATGTAGTCCACCTTTTCTTCTAAATTGTAGTTTTGACCCATAATTTATTCAATCCTTCAATTTGTGCCTAAAACACAATAAATCAAAATATTAAGCACCAATTATCAATAAAATACATCAAAAGTTCCAATTAAAAGATATAATTAAATGTAAAAATATACACTTAACATTTGACCGTCACCAATACTATGCAGAAGTATTTAATTGGGTGACATTTGCTAATTTTGATGACATAGGGTACTTAAAGTTAGTTACCTACGGTCAAACAGGCGGAGGGACCAAATGCGTCATAAGTTTTTAATATTAGAATGGTATTTATTAACAATGTGGCAAATAGAGGACTGAAAGTGAAAATAATGTCAGTGTGAGGGACTAAAATGTAATTATCCCTAAAAAAAGGTAGAATATTAAATAAAAGTATACGAAAGGGACTGAATTTAACGTATAGAGTGAGACAGAGTGTATTGAGCTGGCCCTGATAACTAGAGAGTAGAGAGTGCCACTTTATCTGTTTCTCTTCATTAATATTCATGTAAAACACATGCTTGTTTTAAGACAATAATTTCAATGAGTCGTTTTCTTTTTTAAAGTGTGGGTCGCTTTCTTGTTGAGGTGGAAACATTTTTTTTTCTTTTACCGAAGGAATCTACAGTCAACCATATATGTGCACTGGGTAAATCTACACTCTCATATATATATAGGGCAAATTACCAAAACCCCCCTGAGGTAAGCCTAAATAACGAAAATCCCCCCCACGTTCTCGTAATTACGAAAACCCCCCTTGACTAACGGTTGACCAAATTTTTTTAACCGAAAACGTGAAATGTCTATTATATCCTTCTGTTAAATATGTGAAAATAAAAGAAAAAAGCTGAAAAAGAAATTATTAGTGTTATGGCCTTTGATCAGACCTCAATGCCCAAAAATTTACGCCCGTTAAATATAGTGAGAAATCTAAGCTTTTGAGGGTGGAGATTTTGCTGAGCTCCGGCGGGAGTTTTCCGGTGAGTTGGTTCTTGAAGAGGAAGAGCGATTCGAGTTTCGTGAGGTTGCTGAGTTGGTTAGGGATTTGGCCGGAGATATTTGCGTCGGCGATATCGAGGTACTGGAGGTCGCTCATATTACCGAATTGCCAAGGGATTTCGCCCTCGTAGGAGTTGTAGCCGATCTCCATGTGTGTGAGAAATCTCAGATTCCCCAGCTCCGGCGGTATTGCGCCGCCGAGGAAATTTCCGGCGAGGTGAATGAACCCGGAGAAATTGTTCCTACTGATGTCCAACGATTCCAGGTTAGTGAGGTTGAAAACACCGGCGGGAAGCTGGCCGGAAAACGAGTTATGACTCAGATTAAGATCGACGAGATCGGAAAACAAACCGAACTGCTTCCCGGATAACGAGCCGCCGAGATTCTTCATCGACAGGTCTAAACCGACGAATTTGGAGGAATTGGCACTACACCGAATCTCGGTCCAAAAACACGCGTAGATTTTGCCGGCCGGCCGATCAGCTCCAGAAGCCGAAGAAATTACCCAGTCATTTAAACTACTGGGACTGTAAAAGAAAGATGATTTCATGAAGAGTATATATTTATGACCCCTCATTAAATAAAATGCTTACAATTACCCCCTAAGGGTAATTTCGTGTACAAGGGCAAAATTGGTATTATCGGAGGAATATTCGAGAGAATCAAAAAGATTCTGTCGAGTTTAACACCGTTAGAGCGATTTGTAAGATGCCTGCATACCTCAGGGGGGTTTTCGTAATTACGAGAACGTGGGGGGGATTTTCGTTATTTAGGCTTACCTCAGGGGGGTTTTGGTAATTTGCCCTATATATATATATATATATATATATATATATATATATATATATATATATATATATATATATATATATATATATATATATATATATATATATATATATATATATATATATATATATATATATATATATATATATATATATATATATATATATATATTGATGTACTTCCTTTAAGGGTGGCATGTGTATTTTCGTATTAAAAGAAGAAAAAAAAAAGTATCTTTCAAGATTTTAGATAGGGAAAAAGTGGAATAAGTGCAAATTAAGTTTTTCACGTTTTCTTTGAGCTAACAATCCCGACCATGTTGAAAAGGTTCCTAGGTTTAAGATAGGCTTCTAGTAAACGTAAGAATTCCCACATGTTACATGCAGGCGCTAATCGGTCGATACCGATTGATCGATAACTTTTGTTTTTTTGTTAATCGCACTAACATCACTATAAACTTTTTCTATGTTTAAGATGAGTGGTTTTAGTGTTTTTTTCCCTCGCTCTCTTTAAAAAAAATATATTTATTGGTTGTCAATTCCCCTTTGTGGATTTGGATGCTTCCATTAGTTTTTCCGTGAAACTTAACCACCAGTATCAAACGTTAAAGTATTTTTTTGCAGATGTCCCCTTGAAATTTGACACACATGGTTAAGTTTGAGGAGAAATTAAACGGAAGCTACCTCATCAACCAGAAGGTGGTTATGTGCTGATATTACAAGCATATATGAGTCATTAACAAAAGAGTAGTCAGAGTAAGATTATGATTTGCTTTGATCTGTTATAAGTTTTGTTTAATACCCCGAAACACTATTTATTTTGTCTTTAGCGATGAATTTTTTTTACGGCAAATTGCACATGACCCCCTATAAATTTATAATTTTTGCACTTTACTCCCTCAAAATTTTTAAAAGTGAATGTCCCTCTTAAAAATGTTATTCTTGTTGCACATTGCTCCGACAGCAAAAATTCGTGGATTATTCATCAGTATTTGGGTATTTTTGTTGCACATTGCCCCCTCTATATGTTATTTTTGTTGCACGTTACCCCTTTAAAACATTATCTTTTTGCCCATTGCCCCTTTAAAATGTTATTTTTGTTGCACAATGCCCCACCAAAAATTGGCTTTTGGAGCAAAGTGCAACCAAACCAATATTTTGAAGGGGTATTATCTAGTTTTTGAATTCTTAGGGGGAAGTGCGAAAATGGGAAATTTGTAGGGGGTGAAGTGCATTTTGTTCTTTATTTTATTATCAGTGAAATGTATCATTTAATATTCATTTCTCCAATAGTAACAAAAAAGTACAAGATGAAATTAAAAACAAAGAAAAACAGAGGTCTTGGAGTGAGACAATGTCATTTAGCAACACACAAAATTAAAAACCAAATTAAAGAAGTCCTTGATGACAATTTCATAAAAAAAACAAGCTACTCACTAGCCACAACCACAACTTGCTTCCCGACATTGCAGCCGGAGAAGAGCCCTACGAGAGCATTTGGTGCATTCTCAAGGCCTTTGGCTACATCCTCAACGTACGTTATTTTCCCTTGTTTAACGAGCGGGACGACCACCATCTCCAAGAATTTTGGATAGAGATTGTAGTAATCGAAAACCAAGAATCCCTCCATGCGTATTCGCTTCGTTACAAGGCACAACAAGTTTCGAGTACCTTCGTCTGGATGTTCAAGGTTGTACTGTGATATCATTCCACAAACGGCAATGCGGCCGTTGACTCTCATGTTGAGGAGCACCGCGTCGAGCATCCTTCCTCCCACGTTCTCTAAGTAAATATCAATGCCATTGGGGAAATACCTAACAAATATTCAATTCATTAATTAGGTTATGTATGTTTTGTTTTTTCATAGATTTTGTAATGAGAAAAATGAAAATGCAGAAGCAAATGAAAATAAAAACTTTGAAAATTTCTAGTATTTTTCATAGAGGACTTAGCTTGCTGCGTTTTAGTTGCAAAATACTTTCTTGCTTATTTCTTCGTTATAAATGAAAAATAAAATATTAATTTTGCTAACTTGCAGATTTCGTGCACGAAATAATAAACTCACCTCTTTAAAGCTGCATCTAAATTACGTTCTTCTTTGTAGTTCAATGCATCATCAAACCCAAATTTATTCTTCAAAAGATCCACCTTCAAACAAAATTAATTTAAAAAAAAGTTATACATATATATTTACAAAGCAAATATAATGGGAAAAAAAAAAAAACAAAAACAAAATTGAATTTTGTGATCTTTATATATTTTTAAAGGCCTTATCTTTGCTTCCGGCACTGCCGACAACATAACACCCCAACAACTTGGCAAATTGGCCAACGAGTTGGCCGACGGCTCCCGATGCAGCAGAAACGAACACATATTCTCCCTTTTCCGGAGAACAAATCTCATAAAAACCAATATAAGCAGTATGACCAGGCATACCTACACATCATATTATAAAGTCCATCACATACATGCATGCAAAAAAGAAAAAAAAAACGAGAGAAGGGCAAAAACGTCTTACGTACCGAGAATTCCGGTGTAGTAAGAGAGAGGCAGATCTGCATTCTGAATTTTGAATAAACCCTGTGTTGATTTAATAAGGCTGTACTCCTCCCAGCCTGTTAAGCCCCAAATCAAGTCGCCTTTCTTGAAATCGGGATTAGAAGAATCCACGATTTTCGCCACTCCATATCCAGTAATCGTCTAAGTATTAATAAAATTTGTGTTTACAGTTATTTATACCTCACAGTACTTCTTACTAGGATATATAATTCGAGAAAAATACAGTTATCACCCTTTAAGTTTGCACAAATTTCACAACATAATCAAGTGTGTACCCTCACTGCCTTAACTGACAGACCAACGGTAAGCTGACGGAAATGACTAAGAATGTTGAATTTTTGAAACATAAGGGACCAAATGTATTTTTTCTTAATATAGGGGACCAAATATGTAATCAGTCTAATACTTGAGGGGTGAAAACTTTAATTTTTCCAGTACAATTCATTGATGGGTGTAGCATAAAACAAAGGGAAGAATACAATTTTCATCCCTCAAGTTTGCACCAATTTCACATTTGGTCCACCATGTTCACAAAAAACACATTTGGTCCCTCATGTTTCAAAAATTCAACTTTTTAGTCATCTCCGTCAATTTTCCGTGCGGAATCAAACGTGTGCTTATCACTGCCGTAGCAGACGGACTAACGGTGAATCGACAAAAATGACTAAAAGTGTCAAATTATTGAAACACAGAGGGATCAAATGTGTTTTTTATAAACACGGTGGACCAAATATAAAATCGTTGCAAACTTGAGGGATGAAACTGTAAATCTCCCATAGACCAAACATACTTCTCTGAATCCTCCCCATACCAAGGTACAACCAGGTGAATCACAGAGTACAAACACCACATTCGAACATAAAGAAACATAATTGCTTAAATATTAATTATGTTACAGAATCTTTGATGCTAAACTCAGAAGAAACTCAGAAAATCCTAGATGTCAAGTACCAAATGTGAATTTGAAAATTTTCTGTATCCTATTTGGCAGGATTTAGATTCTACTGCAAAATCTTCTCCGATACAATACTCAAGACTCAAAATATTTTCTTAGAAAATAAAAGAAAAATTGTGATAAATAATGAGTTGACACTTTATAGGTCCTCAAGACGACACTTCAATTTTAGAGTGTCATCTTAAGTATCTCTAAATTCACAAGTGCCACGACGTCATTTGGAGATTTGTTTTTTTTTTTTTTTTTTGAGATTTGCATTGGAGATGATTCTCAAACAAAAATCTCAGAATATCCTATGTGCACTCTAAGTGTTAGAGATTGAGTTTATCATTAAAGATGATCGTACAGTCAAACCTCTATAGATTAATACAGTCGGAATTAGCAAAATCCTATTAATTTAACAAAATATTAAATTATCTAACTAATAATTTAGTATGTTTACATCGAGTCGGGACCGGAAGAAATTATTATTTATGCAAGGTTATTAATTTATCGAGGTTCTATGGTATCTATATTTTACTTCTTCATAGCCATTTAACACATTAACTTTAATTTTTGTTTTACTATACATTGATTTCTTATTTGACCCTTTTACTTTTCACACCTACATAATGCCAGGAAAAACTAAATTTTCTTATTAATAATTAGAAAGTTATATATTTTTCGCAAAAAGGTAATCGGACAGATAGATGGAGGGATGGAGTTGCAAATTTGTGTCTAAGAAGGTGGATGCAAAAACTTGAATTTATTATTTGAGGGTGTGGTTGCAAACAATCATAGTTCTTAGGAGGTGGATGTCAAAATTTTAAATGTTTAGGTTGGAGTTGAATTAAGTTAGTGAACGTGAGTTAAATTTAAAATAATTATTTATTTCTAGAAGTTGGGATTATTAAAAATCAACTTTAACCAACCATAGAGAAGTTAGTGTATCAACACTAATACATCTTAAATTATGGTTCTAATTGCTAGATTAACACCTAATCCATTAGAAGAGGAGGAAGAGGATGAAGAGGGGGACGAGGACGAAGAAGAAGAAGACGAAGACGAAGAGGAAGATTCTTCTTCTACTCCGTCCTCCTCTTCTTCTTCGTCCTCGTACTTCTCGTCCTCGTCCTCCTCTTCTTCCTTGTCTTCCTCGTCTTCATTTTCTTCCTCATCTTCCTCCTCGTCCTCTTCCTCCTCCTCTTCGTCATCTACCTCTTCTTCGTACTTTTCCTCCTCGTCCTCTTCCTCTTCATCTTCCTCGTCCTCTTCCTCCTCGTCCTCTTCCTCCTCTTGCTCTTCGTCTTCTTCGTCTTCTTCTTCCTCGTCCTCGATCTTCACATTTATACCTTTTATCAAAATTATTCTTACACGGATATTTCATAAAAATAAGCTAAAAGTTAAAGTTGATTTGTAAATACTTATAACTTCTGGATTAACCGCTTCAAGTTATTTTTTTAAGTATTGGCAAATATCCTCAACTTTCGCCGATACTCATTTATTTTTAACTTAAACTCACAATCATCAATTTCTATTTTTACAACGATTATGCACACCACCCTTAAGTAAATTTTGAAATAAGTATACTTATGTGTAGATTTACGATTAACTTGCATATGTGTCATAACTTATGATGATGTTAACAACAGATGATGTTAAATAACTACCTACTAAGCACACATATACATGAGTTCGTGTGATTATGTGTAAATTTACGATTAACTAATTACCCGGTGTTAATAACCGGATGTAACATAGAATTTCCCTATAAAAAAGTGGATCTAAGCCTTGGGGATGCGGTAATACATCTAAGAAATTATTCCACCGAACGTACACCCCACTGGATCCAAGAATAGCAACATGTACTAAATGTTCTGTCCAAGTCAAGGAACTTACGCCCAAAAGTTGACAAATGATTATTCAGCGAGATTCGGCATTTTTGATCCACAAAACTCTCGGTTTCTATTTCGGTTGTAATTGTAGCCAACCTTCTATTAATGATATGGGAGAAAGAAATAATAAACAAAAAAAGAGCTCCTGTATAAAGATCTTCATGGTCTCCGAAGGAAGACAATAATATTTCCTTCGATATATCATTGGAGAGAAATTTAAAGATCTACATAACATTTGGTAAGAGATTGAAGGATTCATTCAAAATTCAAGAATCCAATTCATTGATATAAGGTATGCTTTGTGTTTATATTTTAGGTATTATTTATATTTTAGTTATTGTTCATAAAAATCACTTATGTTTGGGTACTAGCATCCCCTCGACTATGAATCTTCTTACACGTCTATCCTTATGGTGTCAAATTCGACATAATCTTCTAGATTCATGAAATATTCTCTAGTGTGTACTCGATTTATGCAATATGCATTTTATTATGCACCACATTCTGATATTTAAATGCCAAGAGATACATAATATGATCTATGATCATCTAGTTTCAAAATGTAAAGCTCGAATGGAATGAAACAGGTACAAACTTAAGAATATTCCACATAATTTAGAAGATTCCATTAAATTTGACACCGCAAGAGTAGACATATAAGAAGATTCGTAGTTGATGGGTGATTATAATTACCGAAACAAAAGGTGTTTTTGGTAATTTGACCTTACCTCAGAGGGGTAACTGTAATTTACTCAATAAGATAATTGTGAATAGGATCAAAATACCAAGTGGACAGGATCAATTAAATTGTTATAAAATGAATTCGTAAATTTTAAATAAACTAGTTAGTACCACGTGCAATGCACGTCATTCTTACTACTCTACTCAATAATTTACAATATTTAAGATTTAATTGACTAAAATTGCACATTGTTAATTTCTTTATAAATAAATAAAATTATATATGATTAATTTTATATAAAATAAGTTGCTAGTTATGGTGTAATATGAAATATCAAATAAAATATTGGGAAAAAATTCAATAAAATTTTATTTACCCACTAATATAATCTTCGTATGGGTTCTTGTCCACGTTAATGGTTAGGATGATCTTGTTTCTCTTAAACTCTTATGTATATAATCAAAAAATTCAAGATATAAATAAATTATTAAGTTTAAATTAAATAATCCTTAATTAACTCTAAAACTATATTAGTTTGGATATTATGTATAAAGTTCTATACCAAAATGTACAGTAATATACAATGTTTAATATATATTTTAAATAACAAATAAATTTTATTCAACAAGAAAAGAAAAGATAAAAGGATAATATTTAGTTCTGCAAATTAATTGGGTGCTCCTTGTTAATTATTTTAACATTTAATATATTAAAAGATTCAACAGTTAATTAACTTGATTTGATGATAAACTAGCATGAACAATCTTAATACATTTATAATTAACATAAACAACATTTCAATAGCATATTTTAATAATGTTAAAATCATCAGCATATGACGACAAAAAAAAAACATCATCATATATACATCTCATAAAATAAAATAAAGAATAAAGAAAAGTAAAAAATGTAATGGGGTTAGGGGTGTCGGAATGGAATTTTGGAATTCCACCGATTCCGATTCGAAAATATCTGAATTTAGAATTGTTTTTTTTTTTTTTTTTTTACAATTTACGATTTTTCCATTTTGTTGGCACGGGTTTGAAATTGTATATAAAATTACCGAAAATTCCAATTTCGGATCTGATTTTAGTTACAAATGTTTTGATTGTTTTTTGAAATATATGGTATAATTTTATGATTTATTTTTGAATTCAGTCCCTCCCATTTTCAAAAAGGCCATCTTCTTCCTTAAGCCAGGGACTAATTTGAAATTTTTCCAGAAATACAATGAACATAGCCGAGTCGTCGCTCTCCTTCCGGCTAACACTCTCTCCGGCCCCACCTCCCTCCATACCCTCAGCCTCCGCTTCAAGCCTTCAACTATGCATACCCCCTTCCGCCCCACCACTCCAACATTTTCTCTTACGAAATTCGGTTTGGTTTGGAGCTTTTCTGCACCATTTTCCACCAATATTTTTGATTTTTTTCGTCCCACCAAATCGAGAGCAGGTTGAAGGCAGATGTGGTGGTGATGGTGCGGCGGAGGGTGGATGATAATTGGATTTGGGACTGAAATTGTTTTTATTAGAGTATACTATATTATAAGAACTCTTATAATATTAGGATTCTATTATGATTCAGTTATCTAGATTAGTCATGATTTAGTTACCTAGTTAAACTCTATTATCTTTCAATATTTCTCTATATATATTCCATGTAAATCAACCCATAACATAACGGGGGTTTCTATTACGTATTATTATTTCTCTCTTTCTCCTATTCTTCCTATATGGTATCAGAACACCAGGTTTTTTAACCTAGCCGCCTTTCTTCTCCATGACGTCTCCATGGTGGTGAAAACCTAGCCGCCTTTCTTCTCCATGGCGGTGACCACCCAATTTTCTCCCTCCCTGGTGGTGGTACTCTTAATATCGTTCTTTTTCTATCTTTTTCATGAACACCAC